AATTTAGATAAGCGGTTACAAGGAAGTAATACTAATTTTCTTTGTAACAGTTATTAGGAAGTAATACGAATAATTATTTGATTATCACGTGTAATTTATTTATTTATTTCATAAAATTTAAGTTTTTCGAGAATGCCATTAAAATTTCTGTCATTTTTGTAACCTCGACTGTAGAATCAGCAGTTTGAAAGAGACAGGACTGCACAGCACCGCGCGTCTTCACCAACGAATGAAGAAACCAATCCCCGGTCTTCTCTTTTCAGACGCCTCTTACGTTCTTTGGCCAAATAAATGTTATCTTTTATCTGATTTCCTCTTAACGGCACCTATGCTGCTAGCCCGCCATTTTATGAGTGCCTTCACGATTCCACCATGGCTTTTGTCCACCATGCTTCTAACTTCCATATATTATATTCTCATAGAAGAATGAATTAGAAGTAATAATACGAATAACTATTTGATTATCGCATGTCATCCTCATTTTTTTTATCTCATAAAATTTAAGTTTTACTATAAACTTTTTTACCCACGTAATTTTACAAGTGAAAAATGTTATTAACTTATATTTAGCTTAACACTTAATCAAGTAACTACATTGTATTTCTTTTCTTTTCTTTTTCCTAAATTAATATTATGTCCCATGAACACACAATATCTTATAATATTGTTTTTCCATGAAATAATATTACTTAAACTTAATTATTATAAAATATTCTTAAACTGTTGATATATTGTTTGACATAAATATTTTTTCTCACGGTTTGTCGAACTGTAAATAATATATCAGTTAAATATGTTTTTCTCTATCTTTTAAATTGGAATTTTAAATTCAATCTTTTAAAATAGATAATTAATCCTCTTATATACCTGTGCAAAATATCAATATTTCAACTTAACTTCATGCTTTGGTTAAAATATTATTTCATCAAAAAATTTTACAATTAAAACAAGTCGATAAATTTCAAACTTGATAAAACCTAGATATCATACAAGGACTATATGATGAAATTAAATAAGTTCACTTATAAATCTGTATGACGAATTTGAAAACATGATAATGAAAGATTTAAAAGAAGTTTTCGAATATATGTGTTTAAAAATGAACTCAATCAGGACGAAGAGATGATATTTAAAAATTGAATGGTAAACAAAAAAAATCTTTAAATTGTTAATCAATGATTTTGAAAACAAAATTTACGTCATTGAAAAGTTTTAAATTTTGTCTGAACTCACGCTTAAAGAACTTATTGTTTCACTTCAAACTCATAAGTTTCGAAGAAAATAACATAAAGGAGAAGACGAATCATTTAAATACCGAGTGTTTCAAGTACTAGCTTGAATTGATACTGATATCTCAAATGTATTTTTAAATGATATTTTGGTAATTGAAATAGAAAGAAACTACTCTCTTGTGTACTGTGAAGGCTTTTGAATAATTTGATGGTTTGCATATGGAACTAATCTTGAAGACACCTGGAAGGAGACATACTCATGGCTCATTCTACTTACAATATTCATAACCTTAGACAATGACAATGATAAGATGGAAGACACTATCAATGGTGGTGGCACTGTTGAAATTGATTATCCTCGATCCTAATAGTTGACCTTAGTAGAGGTTGAGATGAATAAAGTTATTGAGTATTTTAATTCTTATGAATATAAATGTAAGTGGTTATGGAGAGACTTAAATAATAAAAAAAAAAGCATCTTCAATATTTTTATGGGCAATTGCAATTGGACTAAGAGAAAAATGTATGTATTGTATAGTGAATGCTCATCTGCTTGCTTAAGGGTCTTGGGAGTTTCAAAAATTAGAACAGAGATAAAAAGGGAAGGGAGTGAGATAGATTTAAACAGACAAAGAAAATAGTTAATGATTTTGATAATACATTTGTTGATATAAAAGAACACTTTAATCTTTAAAAATTAAGTATTTAACCATTTAAATTTTAATCAATTTTTATATTTATAGCGTTAATGTTTATTGTTACCATCTTCAAAATTCTTCCCGTCCATATTATTATTCACTGAATATAAATAAGTACTAAAATTGAATATATATTTACTTATCAATACTAAAATACAAAATTTTATATATATATATATATATATATATATATTTATTTATTAATTAGATAGGTAATATTTATTTAGAAGATGATAACAATACACATTAACTCTAAAAATGTGAAAATTGATGAAAATTTAAATGGTTAAATACTTAATTTTTAAGACTAAAATGTTCTCTTGTATCAAAGGAATGTACTACCAAAATCATTGATCTCTGTTATTATTTCTGCTTTTATTTTTGAGACCCTCGAAACCTTGAGAAAGCACGTGAGTTTTTATCACCCAATACATTTTTTAAATGTACCTATGCATTTACGTACCTTTACTTGTTTATCATTTCTTCCCTATCTCATTATTTATCAGATTTTTTATAAGTAAGATAACAGACAAAAACTTGATTATTTATCTTTCATGGGGTAGGTTTTCCATATCTTCAACAGGAATCAACGCTGACATTTAGGGTTTGTTTGGTTGGAGTGATTTGAGAGAGTGAAATTGAGAGAGTGGAAAAGGAGGGATTTGAAGAGAAATGGAGATGATTGAAAAGTGAAAGGAAAGTTTATGGGAAATTGTGAATGATTTGATTGATAGGAGATATAAAAATTATAATTTTATGTTTATTATTTAAGAAAATTACCATTTTACCCTTTGTATCAAATAAGGTTCAAATGATTATAAATATAATTTTTTTAATTAATTATCCATATTTTAACATTTATTATATATTTAAAAGAAAAAAAAATTTAAAAGTGTTTGTAATTGGAAACAAATTTAACAAATTTACTTTTTTTAGATAGTTATTAAAAATTATATAAATAAACAATTACAAAATTATGTACATTGCATATCCATATTCAAATAATGTTGACATATTAAATAAATTATTTGACTAATAATTAAATAATTATAAAATATAAAATAATAATTAATATTGATCTGATAATAACAAATAATTATGAAAACTAATAATATAATTGTACATTATTATTTAAAACAAATATAAAATACAGTGAAAATAGAATAATAATTAAAGGAAAGATTACTAAAATTATAAATCTATGCACACTAATGTTCTTCAAACAAATAATTATAATGTTATCCATCTTTTGTAGTCAAGTCTTCCAGTTCAGATCATTCAATCACCTCCATTCAAGAACATGAACAACTGGGACAGACGAAGATGTGAGGGCAAGCCAAAAAGTCGTCTAACATGTGATGGGTGAGTACACAAATGATTATAACACTGAAGCATAAGTTGCTCGTCATTTAGGTTCATGCCGACTAACATGTCCCATATATCTGACTCGAATGTTGAAATGTTGATGATCGTCTCATCACATTAACTTGCTCATTAATTAATTCATTTCTGCGTTCAATGGCGATCACCTGTCTTTCAGCTATGTCAGATAATCGTTGGGTGATTGTATTACCTTGCCCGAGGTAATCTGTAAATGTGTCCAGCCTCGATGTTAGTTTTTCAAATTGACCTTCCATCACATCAACCATAGGCGCTTTTCTTTTTGTGCCCCGAGATGAAGAGGTTCCACCCGAACCAGATAGACGCATGCAGATGGAATTGAGTGAGCACCCTCAGCAGGACTGTCGGAACCCATGCGTGGAGGTGATCGATAAGCTGTATCAAATCCTGCATCAAAGCCAAAGTGAAATGGCTGCTCCTCTGGTGTGGGTTTTTAATCGATTAAAATGACTTACAAAAAATTCTGTGCAGGTTTTTAATCGATTAAAACTTCTTTGTATCAGTTAAAATAACTTGAAAAGTGTTATAAGAAAATTTTAAACTGAATCAATCGATTAAACCGCGAATCAATCGATTAAATCACTCTTAGAAAATGTTTGTAAAAAGTTTTAAGCTGATAAAAACTTGGTCGTATCAGTCTAAAACAATTCTGTTAAAGAACAAGAACGCATTAATGGGTTGAAAGGACTTTTAACACATTATAACGGCTATTTCAACAGATTAAAACAAATTTTCAACAGATTAATTAATGCAGTTTTTTCTGAAAACTCTTTTATAAACAGAATTGCTTGGAACTTTTATCATATCAGTTTTTAAAAAAACAAAGCAATCAATTTATTGCCTTTGCCCCTACGCCAGCTTGCTCTCTAATCCCACTGCTGATTGGATTGAACTAAAAAAAGCGGAGCTTAGGTAGGCTACAACAACTCTCAAAGCGTGAGCTCATAAGCCATATATCGCTCGAGCGACTATATCTCGCTCGAGCGAAATACGATCCTGATCGATCATAAGTTGAAATGATCGATCATAATTGGAGGATATAATAGCGGTTCCTCTGTAACCGCTATCTAAAGTGTATGTTAGATAGCGGTTAAGGTTTAACCGCTATTATAAGCTCCTTTTAAGAACCTGGTTGCGTCTGGGGTTGTGTTTCGCTTGAGCGACTATATCTCGCTCGAGCGAAATTTGATTCTGATCGATAATGATCGATCATAATTGGAGGATATAATAGCGGTTCCTCTGTAACCGCTATCTAAAGTGTATATTAGATAGCGGTTAAGGTTTAACCGCTATGATAAACTCCTTTTAACAACCTTGTTGCGTTTGGGGTTGTGTGTCGCTTGAGCGACTATATCTCGCTCGAGCGAAATTTAATATAATAGCGGTTCCTTTGTAACCGCTATCTAAAGTGTATATTAGATAGCGGTTGAGGCTTAACCGCTATTAGAACTGCTGTTATAATAGCGGTTAGGTTTTAACCGCTATCATATATTGCAGGGTAACTGCGACTTTTCATTACTTTCATCTCTTTTCTTCGCACTTCAGCGAAGAAACTCTCTCTCTCATCTCCCCCTTTTCCTCGCCTGCATTTCGTCGCAAATCAGTTCAACCAAACGTGTGTGAATGTCGTGTTTCCGTCTTCGTAAATAGTATTTCGTCGCAAATCAGTTCAAACAAACACGGTGTAAGTGCACCTTCCATTATTTACACCATTATCATAAAGTATGTGCCTCCCTTCCTCTTTTACAATCATCACCACCCCTTTTTGGGAGCCACCACCACCACCACCTATGCTCCTCTGTTCCAATCCAAGTTTCAACGTACACTCTGCTGAGTTAATGTTATCAAAAATCTTATTTACATTTGAAGTTTCACTTTTTAATGATGCCTTTACTAAGAGAGAGAAAAAGGTGGCAGGAATTCTGCAACACAAGGTTGAATTATGATTTTAGTATAATTGCTTTCATATTTGATGTTTAATGCAGCGTGACAAGCTTTAATTAGATTGCAGCAAAAAATGGTCAAATAAATGATAAACAATACTCCTCCCACTGCTTTCAATACATCAACACAAAGTGGTCCAAACCACACTCTTTCAATCTGCATTTTCTTAGGTAGGTTCAATCCTAGGGCATCAACCTAAATGCAATTAGGTTAGAGAATTATAGGTTTTCTTTATTAATGCTAACATAATTAGATTCCACCCCTTTCGTTAACACCATCATAACCACTGCATTTTCTGCATAATCTCTCCGTCTTAAGATTAAACCTTTTTCTAATGTCCTAATAATTTTTATTTATTTTTCTCCTTTTGTGTTTATAATAAACATACAATATATTAAATAAAATACTAGTAAAAAGTTTATGATAAGACCATAAATTAAACAACGAGTATTGCACAACTTTATTAATTGATGCGTGTTTGGAGTTAAATACTGGCCAGTATTTTGCTGTCTGGATCCCACTAAAAAAGAGCCTAAAAACACATTTCAATTCAATTCCATTACGCGTTTCATTAATTATCTCTCTCCCCCAAACAATGCATTATTGCATTTTATTAAACAAAAATAAAGTTAATTATACATAAAATTGAAATATTAATTAACAAGATCTAATTACTACTTAATTAAGGTGATTAAAAAGTTAATATGGCAGAACGGCACAGTTAGAAAATCTAGGGAAAGATCACATCCATGCAACTCAAGCGTTTCTGAGTTGACTCCCAGCACCATTGCAATAAATAAGAGCTTTCATTTTTTCAATATAATAATAGTATTATTAATATTAATATTAATGCAATTTAATTTACTAATATAATAATAAGTAAATAAATGTACTCGTATGCTGTATTTGTTTGAACTGATTTGCGACGAAATACTGTTCACAAAGACAAAAATACAAGATTCACCCACATTTGGTTGAACAGATTTGCGAAGAAATGCAGGCGAGGAAAAGGGGGAGAGGGGAGAGAGACTTTCTTCGCTAATCTGCGAAGAAAAGAGACGAAAGCCTGCTGGAGATAATGAAATGTCCAACCTACCCTCTTCCATATGATAGCGGTTAAATATTAACCGCTACTATAATAGCACTTGTAATAGCGGTTAAAATTTAACCGCTATTATATATCACTTCTAATAGCGGTTAAAACATAACCGCTATTATATATCACTTCTAATAGCGGTTAAATCTTAACCGCTATTATATATCCCTTTAGATAGCGGTGACAGAAGAACCGCTATTATATCCTCCAATTATGTGGTTGTATATGATAGCGGTTCCACTGGAACCGCTATCTAATATACACTTTAGATATCGGTTACAGAGGAACCGCTATTATATCCTCCAAATATGATCGATCATTTCAAATTATGATCGATCAGGATCGTTTTTCGCTCGAGCGAGATATAGTCGCTCGAGCGAAACACAACCCGAGACTGAAGAAATTAAAATATGGTTGTATATGATAGCGGTTCCACTGGAACCGCTATGTAATATATACTTTAGATAGCGGTTACAGAGGAACCGCTATTATATCCTCCCATTATGATCGATCATTTCAAATTATGATCTATCAGGATCGTTTTTCGCTCGAGCGAGATATAGTCGCTCGAGCGAAACACAACCCGAGACTGAAGAAATTAAAATATGGTTGTATATGATAGCGGTTCCACTGGAACCGCTATCTAATATACACTTTAGATAGCGGTTGCAGAGGAACCGCTATTATATCCTCCAATTATGATCGATCATTTCAAATTATGATCGATCAGGATCGTTTTTCGCTCGAGCGAGATATAGTCGCTCGAGCGAAATGCAACCCGAGACTGAATCTTAATTTATAATCGATATTTATAATTTTTATTAGTATAAATTTATTAAATATTTATTTAACAAAATATTTGTTATAACTTTTATATTTATTGTCATATTCAATATTATAGTTAAAAAAAATTACAAAAGACATTTGTTATCATGTTTTAATAAGTATAAATATATTATAAGTATAAAATAATTATATTATAAACACAGTTTAAAAAAAATATTTATATATATTTAGTAATTATAAATATATAACATTATATTTAAAAAACAAATGTTTTTAATTTGTTTCTTTTAATATTTTTATTATTTATTTGGATTAGCCTACATATCTAGGAGGTTCCTTCAATGCACAACACCCATGCAAAATTTGTTCCTAACATATAATTTAAAAGGAAAACCAAAAATTAATTAATACTAATAATATGCTTGTATTTCCTTCTCAGTTGCTTCAGTGCAACACAGATTGACTGCAAAAGGAATTATTGGAAGAGTAAGTTCTGGTGAGATATTCATAGACTGCAGAGCTTCTTTAGTTGGTTGATTATCCATTTTTATTAGTATCCATTGTGCCTTCTATGCTCAAACTATGGGGTTATCTTAGTCAAGTTTTTATAATAGTAATTTGATTCTTAGACAAATTAGATATAAATGGCTTAATTGTTTGAAGAGAAGTAGCCATAAACTTCTCACGGTTTCATTTAGTAGAATAATGTTTAGTTTTCTTAATCTACAAGTTTTTAGAGGTAAATTTGTTTTACCTTAATGCAACCCGAACCTTATTTCATACAAAGGGTAAAATGGTAATTTTCTTAAATAATCAACATAAAATTATAATTTTTATATCTCATATCAATCAAATCATTCACAATTTCCCATAAACTTTCCTTTCACTTTTTAATCATCTCCATTTCTCTTCAAATCCCTCATTTTCCACTCTCTCATTTCCACTCTCTCAAATCACTCCAACCAAACAACGGGTTAGAGGATAAATAACGTAAAAGATTATATACAATGATGGTTGTTGTTTTGTGGTTATATCTATGTGTAGTTAAAATTACATAAGTGATGGTTTTGAACAAACATTTGTTTTATTCATTTTATGTTGTTGGGTTTTATGTACTTGGTTCGAAATACGTTTCACTCTTCACTCTTCTTCTGAGTTGTATTTTTTGGAAGTTTCAAACATGGTAATTAACACGAAATACCATTCAAGATTTCTGTCATTTTTTTAACCTCGACTGTAAAATCAGCACTTTGAAAAAGACAACACTACATCGCACCGCCCCTCTTCACCAACAAAAGGTTAATAGATTTATCCAAATGTTGTCTTTTATCTGATTTTCTCCACCCGATCGCTAGTGGCTGAGGTGAATCAAGTTATTGAGTATTTTAATTATCATAAACATGAATGCATGGTAGTCGTGAAGAAGCTTCAATCAGAAAAAAAAAAATATCTTTCAAAATTTATATCAATATTTAGACTGAAAAAAATGTATTGATGATAAAAACTCATAATTATCAAAGGTTTCAGAAATATACCCTTGAGGAAACAGGTGAATTTTTACCACTCAATATATATTTTTTCTTAATCCAACTATAATAAATTTTGAAGATTTTTTTTTTGCGATCGAAGCTTCTCCTATCTGCTTTCATAACCATGAGATTTGTCATCACCATTGGTCGTGTCTTTCATCTTATCATTATCATAAGGTTATGACTACTGTAAATAGGGGTGTCAAACAACCCGACTCACACGGGTTAAGTTAAAAAGAGATGAGGGAAAGATGATAACCACTGTGCTTTAGGGCAAGTTAAAGCTTTGATTAAGTGAACGTTGTTCAAGAATCGCTTATTTCATAAATACTTATTTTAAGCTAGGTATTTCCAAACAACTTTAACATTAAAATAACTATTTCATAACCATTACAACCACGTAATTAAAACTTACTTCGACGACTTCATCAATAAGATTGATTTCCAAGACACCACGAACAAACCCACCACCAATCTCGAGACTTATGTGAACCTGAACATTCACAATGCAAATAGAAAATTAAGCACTGTGTGTTAAAGACAATAAAACAAGCACAAAATCAATCACAAATTACTTCAGATTTTTTAACAAGTAAAACAAATATAACATTACAAAAACTTTTCTTGTTTATCCCTTCTTCCATATCTCATTATTTATCAGATTTTTTATAAGTAAGATAACAGGACAAAAACTTGATTATTTATCTTTCATGGGGTAGGTTTTCTATATCTTCAACAGGAATCAACGCTGACATTTAGAGGATAAATCACGTAAAAGATAATATATAATGATGGTTGTTGTTTTGTGGTTTGTATCCATGTGTAGTTAAAAAAAATTACATAAGTGATGGTTTTGAACAAACATTTGTTTTATTCATTAAATGTTATTGGGTTTTATGTGCTTGGTAGGAAGTACGTTCACTCTTCACTATTCTTCTAGTATTTTTTCGACGTTTCAAACATCGTAATTAATAGGAATTGCCATTCAAGATTTCTGCCATTTTTTGTAACCTCGACCGGAAAATCAGCAGTTTGAAAAAGACAGCACTGCACCGCCCGTCTTCACCAACCAATGAAGAAACCAATTCCCGATTGTTTTTTTAGACACCTCTTACATCTTTGGCTAAATGTTGTCTTTTATCAGATTTCTTCTACCAGATTACTAGAGGTTGAGGTGAATCAAGTTATTGAGTATTTTAATTCTCATAGACATAAAATGCAGGTAATTGTGAAGAGACTTCAGTCAGAAAAAGTCAATCTTCAAAATTTATATTAACATTTGGACTACGAAAAAAATATATATTGAACGGTAAAAACTCATTTTTTTCTTGAGGGTCTCAAAAATAGACATTCCAGAGACCCTTGAAGAAGCAGATGAGTTTTCAAACCTCACTATAATTTTTTCCGTAGTCCAACTGATATAAATCTTGAAGATGCCTTTTTTTGATCGAAGTTTCTCCACAATTACCCTGCTTTCACGTGCATGAGAATTAAAATACTCAATCATTTTTCATCTCAACCTCTACTGTTAACAACTAGTGCAGAGGATCATAAGTTTTAATATTACCATCACCATTGATCGTGTCTTCTATCTTATCATATCATAAGGTTATGAATATTATAAGTTGAATGCACCCAACAAAGTAATATTTCGAAGTTTCAAACATGATAATTACTAGGAAATGCCATTCAAGATTTTTGTAACCTCAACTGTAGGGACTATAGAATTAGTAGTTTGAATTGTCTCCACCAACAAATCCAATCCCCGATCTTTTATGAGGATGACAAACTCATGGCTCATTCTAAATATTGACACCTATTATTTGGTTATATAACTAAAACTACCCAGAAAAACCCTTATTTCATAAATACTTATTTTAAGCTAGGTATTTCCAAACAACTTTAACATTAAAATAACTATTTCATAACCATTACATGATAGTTTGAATAATGTAATTATTACCAACCACGTAATTAAAACTTACTTTGACGACTTCATCAATAAGATTGACTTCCAAGACACCACGAACAAACCCACCACCAATCTCGAGACTTATGTGAACCTGAACATTCACAATGCAAATAGAAAATTAAAGACAATAAAACAAGCACAAAATCAATCACAAATTACTTCAGAGCACGGACTACACAACCATGCGCAAGTTTTAGATACATTAATGGGGTTATCAATCAACTGCATCAAATAAACATCAGACAACAGTACACAATCTAACAAGAAACACCCAATACAACAAACTGCGCAGAAATTGGCACCATGCAAAGATGTAACATCTTTGCCAATCCCAGATCTTTCAACAGCCATAATATATGTTCACTACAAAACACACGAACGAACAAACAAAAACTATTAGCATAAAGCCCACAAGCTACCAAAATACACACACCCATTAAGAATAAAAGAACAAAACAACCAATGATGTTGATGTTGGGATTGATAAAATGCAAATAAACTCTCCTTCAGATACCTAATTAACAATTAATAGTTTACTACTAATAATGGTTTGATTAATACAGTGAAAGATCATAAAAAACTAAAGTGTCATAGAGGAACAGGAATCACTATAGAGAAGAACACTGGGATGGTCAACAAAGTACAAAATAGGAGAAACTAACATGTATCATCAATATATTATTTTATATTTTAATTGAAAGTTTTTTAGTAAAATAACTTTTTATTTTAATTTATTTCTTATATTTTAAAAAGCATTACAATATTTGAAAACCCTTATTTCTAGACGAGAAAACAAATATAAAATCACAAAAAGTCATATCAAACATAATCCTATTAATATATAGATTTAAAACTCAGTAACAGAAGCGGAACAAATGTTAGTTGTCGTTAGAAAAGGATAAGGTTCCATCAACTCGAGTTTGGCAGCAAATCGGACAACACGACCATCTCTGCAAGTTTATTTAGATACATTAATGGGGTTTTACCAATCAACTGCATGAAATAAATATCAGACAACACAATATAGCAACATAGGCATCATGCAAAGAGACTCACTTCTCTAACATCTTTGGTCATTTCAGATTTTCTAGCTAGAAAACACTGACAGATCTTTAGAGTTGCTAATGGGGTTTTAACAGTCAACTGCATAGAATAAACATCAGACAACAATGTACATAATCAAGCAAAAAACATCGTCAACAGAGACAAAACCCAATACAAAAAGCAAATAGCAGAAATATGCATCATGCACAGAAACTTACATCTGTAACATCATCTTTGATAATTTTAGACATTTTAAAAGAAAACAAAACATTGACAGCACAACCATCTGCATGTTTGTTTAGATTTGTTAATGGGGTTTTAGCCGTCAACTGCATAGAATAAACATCAGACAACAATACATAATCAAACAAGAAACATTGTCAACAGAGTCAAAACCCAAGAAAAGTGTAGCAGAAATGTGCATCATGCACAGAAACTCAGTTATGCAACATCTTTGATATTTCATACCTTTCAGCAACCATTATTTTTGCTCACTGCAAAGAAAAATGCTTGAGGAACAGCAACACCGCTGCAGCGGCGCCGAAGGAGTAGAAAGTAGTGCTAAGAACCCTACATTTCAGTCATATATATAGGAAATAAAAACGATGCAGTTTCAATCATTTATTATTTTATATTTAATTTAAATTATTTGGTTAGTAAAATTACCTTTTAATTTAATTAATTTCTTATATTCAAGACAAAACATTAGAAAATTTGAAATAATTATTAATATATATTATAAAATTTGTTGGAGCTTGTATATAATTTTCTGACATTTCACTAAAAAATTAAAATTTGGTTAACCTATTATCTTAAATTTTTAATTTATAAATAAATAATAAGTAATTTTTTTTAACTATTTCTAAAGCTTATCAAATATTTATTATTATTTTAAAAATAAAAGTCAGTAGTGATTGGATTCAAAGTGTACGATTGTATTTACACCTCTAATTATTAGAGAGGTTGTATTAAAAGCATAGTAAAAGCTGAATCAACACAGTGAGTGGCGATGAGAAAAACAAGAACATGAAAAAAGTTACCATAGACCAGGGACGGTCAAATATCAAATATATGACTCAATAAGTGGGTATGACAGAATTATATTTAAACCTCTAATGTTAAATAACAGTATTTATTATATTTCATGTCATTTCATTATTGTACAATTATGGGCATTCATCCATTATATTTGGTGTTATCATTAAGACGTGTCTTGAAAGAATTTTAAGCTAAAATGAACCACACTTTAAAGACACTGGTAACAAATTACTACGACAGGCCATGGATCGATTAGAAGTTACAAATTAGCTCTAAGTTTACCAAAAACAATGAAGCATTAACACATTCCATTGAAAAACTCAACTCAGAGGCCCTAATGGATGATTTGGTAAGTGAATTACAAGATGAGATTAATCCGGATGGAGTTATTTCCCCAACTCACATTGGTAAGACAGTATGATTGAAAAAATTATGAAAAGAAACATAATCTTGTCACCATTCTCCCGTTTCACCCAACCAGTATAGTAAACCCATACCTCATACCCGAAATACTCACCACTGGAACACTTCTCCAATCAGACAAATCATACACAATACCGAAACCCTCTTTACTTCTTCTTCCTACCCTAAACACAAAAAATGATGACAATTATATATCACAACCAAAGAAAGGAGAAGACAAATTATTGTATGCTTTGAACAGGTATGAAAATAATCCAGTAAAATTAGAGCCTCCAGTTAAGCATAGTTTTTTGCTAAAAGGAGTGTTTTATAGCGTTTAAGAGATTCAATAACTAACATGCTAAGTGGTAAGGAGGTAATAGTCTAGGTATTATTAGCTTCAGGACAATAATCTCATCTAACTGTCACTCTTTGATTCTTCAGTATAGGAAGTGGGTTCGGTGGTAGAAAAATGACCATGATAAAATGACGAAGAGAAGAGGATAAACTTAAAATAGAAAATGAAAGATTCTAGAGGATATTTGGTTATTGAAACCAATTTAAAGGGTGAAGATTAGATTGAAGGTGGATGCATGTATTTAAAGAATATTAATTAACAAAAACAACTATATATTTACTAAGTGGGAATGACTTGCAAGAACTTGTTGATCTGTTAGGTAAGTTGATAGCAACAGGATTAATATTAATATGTTATATGTAAAGAAATATGAAAGTGAAACACATCAATCGCTGGTGTCTGAATCTATTATCCAAGATGTGATGCTGCATGTGTTGATAGAATTGATTATAGAAGAACAAATACCTGAGAATGATGGAGATTGTTTGGGACATGAAGAAATAGAGCTGGTTAGTGTGTAGAGATTAGAAGTTGAGCTTCCATTGATGGATTGTTGCAATAAAGCTGTCAAGTCTTGATTTTGTTAGGAAGAGAAGCAAAAATCCTGATTTTCAATAGTTTGTTGTTGATCAGGTTTATGACTTTACAATCACTCATCATCGTGTGAACAACACAGCATTTTTTTTCAATGTAAAATTTAGGATCAAGAAGAAAACAGTATTTGCTGCAGCTGACATCCATAGTATGAGCATTTCTTCCACAAGCAGATATAGCCATTCTGACTGAACGAATTCTTATGGCTTTTGTTCTCCAGATTTAAACAAAAATCATGCTTATGGCAATAAAGATTTTCAGTGTACCCTATGTATCCACAGTGATTACACATGAGAGATGAAGTAGTTGCATGATCAGAAGGGTCTTGGTATCATGTTAGCAACAACAATAATAGAAAAGTAGAGTTCCAGGTATAGGATCATCAAATCTGACATTGCTATATTTCTAATTAAGTTCAAATCTGACATTGCATTGCTATACATTCATCACTTACTGTATCTTGCATCACATTGCCATTATCTGATAAATAACATATATTCAGAATGTTTAAGTTGAATTCACCCAACAATAGAATAGAGTGCATCACATTTTTTCTTTATGTGTTATGTTGAAACTCTAAACACACAAAGAAAATGAGCAAACAAATAGTTGTTATTAATATCAGATAATAAAAAATATTTGGCAAAACCACACAGTACATGTGTGAAATTAGAAGACCAGTAATTGGTCTTGTGTGTTTGGTTGATGAAGGTGTGCATTGTAAGGGTGTCTGTTTTTGTATTGTTGTTTGTAAAATTTTGACACAATCCAGGTAGAAGAAATGAAAGTAAATACCAAATTTAAAATTTTGAAACTTGTATACACATCTCATACAAGATTCAACAAAGAAAGAAATACCATATTGAAATAATGCTTTGAACCAAACTTATAAAATTGAAATTGAAAAGCGTCTAATAAATAAAATAAACTCATGTCTTCATAATTAGTAGGCATTTAAATAACTAATAGTTTTATTTATGTGAGCTAATCTAACCATACAGTCTCCAACTTGTAACTTTAAAAAATGTAATTAATACTCTTTGAAGCTTATCTCTTTTTACGTATTGTTTGGACAGATGTGTACAGAAAAGTTGAAAAAAAAAAAAAAAACGAGACGTTGAAAAAATGTGGAATTTTTTCTCTTTCCTTCTTGATATGTGAGAAAAGTATAGACTTTTATGATTCTTTTCATAGTCAATTATATCTTAAATTTTTTAAAATATTAATTATTTAAAATTAATGAAATAATATTTTATTTAATTAAATCACTTTTATTTTTTATCATCTTTTTATTTTTTTTATTTTACCAATTATATTTTTTACTCTTTTCTTTTTTTATTTACTAAATCCACTGTTTAATCAAAACACAAACTTAATTTCATATCAAAGAATTATTGATGGGATAATTTGTTCCTTCATACCTTTTAATTTATTTATTATTCATCAAATCCAATAATTTATATATATGAATAGATATTTATATTGATACTAATATTATTTATGATAAATCTCATACACAATAAAAGATTAAAAAATATATACACAAGTAAAGTCACTAAAAAAAATAATAGCTAGCTTTTTAATAAAGTCTATCAAAAGACTAACAAAGATAAAGTGATATTATTAGAAGAATTTTTTTTAATGTTCAAAAGGATATTTGGTTAAGTGAATTTAAATAATATCTTATTTTCTTCATATTTTTATTTATTTAATTTTTCTCATTTTTTTATTTAATTATTGTAAATACAATACAATAAATTTATGTATATTAGTGGAAGTTTATTTTGATTTCAATATTTTCAAAATCGATTAGCTCAATAAAAACAAATCATAAAATTGATACAATTTTATTTATTGTAAATACAATTAATAGATTAGTGCATGTGTTGATATTAACAGTAGTTTAAACCCATTAAGTATGTTTAATATTTATTTATAGTTAAAAATTAAGGTTGTTTATAATTAATCTAACACTTTACTGTATCTTTCGAATGATTATGATTGATAACTTTGAAATTTGTAGATTTTTTTTTATGGACTAATATTAATTTTTTACTTCTATATTTAATATCTCTTCAATAAAAATAATTTAATTATATTGTGTATGTACGTAGACCCTAAATTATTATTGATTTATTTTGTGAATAAAAAGTATTTATTTAATCATTAAATTAAGTTACAATCACTGTTCTCTCATTTGTGCCTTTTATTGCAGCATATTGCTATATAAATTGTAGACAAAACTCTTAATTGATTTCAACAATATTTTGGTTTTGCTGTATAAAAACATTTTATTCATATTTATTGCATCTATAATTTCATATTTTTCAATTCTATCTTTAATTTTTTTTGTTCATAAATAATGTCCAAATAAGTATGTAAGTAATCCTTTTAATGTTAAAAATCAAGTCAAGTAGTTTTTTCAGTATTGAAAAATCCATCAGAAGATGGTTTTGAAGACACATTTGTTTTATTCATTGAATGTTGTTGGGTTTCATGTACTTGGTTCGAAGTACCGTTTCACTCTGAGCGGTTATTTTTTCAAAGTTTCAAACATGGTAATTACTAGGAAATGCCATTCAAGATGTCTGTCAGTAACCTCGACTGTATCGACTGTAGAATCAGCGGTTTGAAAGAGACAGCACTGCACAGCACCGCGCGTCTTCACCAACGAATGAAGAAACCAATCCCCGGTCTTCTCTTTTCAGACGCCTCTTACATCTTTGGCCAAATGTTGTATTTCGTCTTAACAGCACCTATGCTGCTAGCGCGCCATTTTATGTGTGCTTTCACGATTCCATGGCTTTTGTCCTCCATTCTTCTACTCATGCCCTATATATCAGGGTTCGTATCAAAGATCAGATACAAGTTCATATCAAAGTTTATATCTAAGAATAGTAGTAATCCAGCGAGCATACTGAGATGGAGCGTAGAGGTATTCCTAACTTACCGCCAGTGGCACCGGAAGTGTATGGTGAAGGGTATCCATACGCTCCGGAAAACTGGCCGGAAACGGGTGATATTTGGAGGTGGAGAACTGGACGGAGAATTGTCCGGAAGGGTATGTACTTTCAGGATCGTTATCTATATCTGCCAGATCGGCTACTCCGCGCGTTGAAGGAGGAGAAGAAGCAGTCAGAGTCAGCACAGTCCTCGAGCAAGACCCGCCAGAAATACATCTTTGCGAGCAAAGTGGCGTTTAAAAATTACATAAAAACATATTTCCCTGGGACGGATCCTGAGGCCGTTTTCTCTACCTTCTACTGGAAGATTCCGGCTTTACCACCAGGTTACGGTCTCTTTTCTCCTATCACTTATTTCGCTCTTTTAATTCGTTGTGTTTCAATGATCCTTTGTTTTGCTTATTAAAATGATACCACATTGAATAAACAACTATATTTATGATGTTGTGTTGTGCATCACAGTGAACGAAGTGGCTATACCTGCTATACCTCTTCGTCAGATACCACCTCAAGCATTGCCTGCACCTGCTATACCTCTCCTTCAGATAGCACACGAAGCATACAACTCCAACGGTGACAACGCGGTAAGATGTAAAACCAATAACGACAAGTGCCCGAGTATGATGGTGATAGAAGTAGAAAACTATGTTGCATTTCTTTATTTGTGGCCAAACTGTCTGTCCAGATCATGGAGGCTATAATTATGTCAAGTGCCAACTGAATCCTGGACAAGGAATATGTGGCCATGTTTGTCACATTGAATGTGCCCTCCGATTTTCTTGGATGGCAAAGTTGGAGAAAAGATAGGGTTAGACGCTGAATACCACTGGAGACGCTGTATTGGTAGAAGATTTTGAATCTTGGTGCTTTTCTGGTGCGGGGTTCAGGGAGACAGGTTGCAAATGAGCTGCTAGCTCGAATTGATACGGCCGTCTCAAACACTATTAGAAATTCTCGTAGGAATATTATTTTTTTATAAAAATTACTAGAAATAAGTTTTCTATAAATTTAAATAATTTTTTACAGAAAAATTTGCAAAAAATAAATAACTTTTTAGTAGTAAAAGGTATTTTTAAATGATATTTAATGAAAATAGAAACTATCTTGCTTGTTCTCTCTTGTGCACTGAGAAGGCTTATGAATAATTTGATGGTTTGCATCAGCTTTACTGTGGAACTAATCTTGAAGACATCTCGAAGGAGGATGACAGCGTCATGGCTCAATCTGTTGGTAAATATCATCACCTATTATTTTTACTTTCTACTATTACCATTTTGTTACATGCATATTTTGTTGGTTGCATTCTACTTACAATATTCATAATCTTATGTTTAGATAATGGCAATGATAAGATGGAAAACACTTCTGGAAATGTTGAAGCTCATGATCCCCAGCCCCCATGGTTAACGGTGGAGGTTGAAGTGAATCAAGTTATTGAGAATTTTAATTCTCACGGACGTGAATGCAGGGTGATTGTGGAGAAGCTTCAATCACAGAAAAGACATATTCAGAAATTATATGAACAATTAGATTATGAGAAAAATGTATTAGTTGGTGATAATTCAGCTTCTTCTTCAAAAGTATCAAGGATCTTAGAAATAGAAGCACAGATAAAAAGAGAGTGGGATAGATTTCACCAGACAAAAAAATTAGCTAATGATTTTAGTATTAAATTCGTTCATGTAATGAAGCATTTTAATCTTTAATTTATTGAACAATTTCTGAAAATTTTATAGTTTAGAGTATTGGTACCATCTTTAAAATGTTTCAATTAATTCAATTTAAGTAACACTTATCAACAAGTTACCTATATAGTTATACTAAATATAAATGAATACAAAAATTTGAATATATATTTACTTACCAATACTAAAATACAAAATGATGTATATTAGTGTAGGTAATATTATTATTATATTTATAGATCATTTAGTATACATTAATTTTATATGGTATATATGACATAAATATGAAAAGAAGGTTAATTGAAAATATATGATTAATATATTTTAATGATTAAAATATGTAAAGTAGATGGGTTAATATTTACATCTATCTTTTTATATATATAATATAACCAATAAATTTTTTACCATAAGATTAACATCTATGCATTTTGTAAACACGTGAATGAAATAAAATAAAATGACTATTTTTAATTAAAAATAAAAATAGAAAATTAATCACAAATAAAATTTAGAATGATTTTAAATTTTTTTTAAAATATTTCTCTGTTCCTTTTCAGGAAGTTTTTGCATGACACTCTGATCCTATATAAAAAACCTAGACAAACGAAAGAATTTTATATTCTCCAATTTCAGAATCTACTCTGCCTATCACCATGAAATAAAAGAATTTTTTACTTTCAGTAGGAGGAGTTCAGATTCTATGACATAATTAACTGACAAAACGTAATAATAACGGAAGAAAGAATTTATTTTTCGATAAAATTTTGAGAGTCTGGTAACCTAATCTATCATAAAAACGTGGCAGTCGGATGGGAACTCGAACTAACTAAAAAAAGAACACTACATTATTTCCCGTCTGACACCAATTTAAACAACCTAAATAAATCCTAGAAATGCACGTGTGTGGTAGCTCCAATCGCGAATGGAAATCTCAGCCATTAAATTAAATTCAGAGAGTTTCTTTGTTTCAGAATATAAGCACCTCGTGTGGATATGACACGTCTTGAACCTTCTTCCATTCAGAAAGAATAGTCAAAAAGGACACTTGCTTACAAATTTCTCTCTCTTAAATTATAATTGTTCCTCTTTTTATATATATATAATGGTTATATTCAGACACTTTAATGAGTAATTTATTATATTCCGACATAGGTTATATAAACCGTTTTTAGAAATTTTTGATTAATATCTCTTATTCTAATAAATACTTAATTTATTTTAAATGTGTTAGTTTAATTAATTTGGCAAACAAATTATTAAGAAAAACAAACTGTAATTGTGATTTAGTAAATGATAACAACACTGTTCCTCTTCTTTGTGCAAGTGCAATATTGTTTGAAGGGAGATTAATATGAAGGTTAATAGAAGATAAAAAAGCACGCACAATTCTAACATCAGCTTCTGCCAATGATAAGTGACAGTCAAACTTCTTCTGTAGGCTCAGAATGTGAAAGGTCTTCACGATTTCGCATCCGACGCCTACGGTGAGATCTTTTATGAGCCCGGTTTTGAGTTGCTGATGGTTTTTTGGGGGAATTAGAATGAAGAGGGCCTTCCACAGGAGAGGCATAACCCAAAAGAGAATCAAGAGGGTCTACCTCCGACGTCATATCAGGACCCGCGTCTGTCTGCAATCCAATGTATATGTAAACAATCATGTGCAAAACAAAATCTTATTGTGACCGATCATTTCAACTATCATTTCCCCTAAGACATGTAGGTACAGCATCTTTTTATATTAGGCACAGTAATTTGTTAAAGATAAGTCAAAAATATGTCTACCCATCACACTACTACTGAAAAACGGAGACAGTTTGCCCAATATTCTTTTCGTAAAGGATTATAGATATCCTTCACTGGATACAGTTCTATTTAAATCAATAAAATTCCCAGTATGATGAGATTAAGGGCCTGTTGAATCCCTACAGTGTTTAACTTTCTCCTTAGTACAATTGGGCTTAAATAAAGTATGTTTTTCCTTAGAACTCAAGGAGGGCATGCAATTAACTTTCTCAGTATGCACAAATGAAGTTTAACAGTTCCTTCCCCAGAACATTTGAGAAGGCCAAAGCATACAATGCCCACCTGGTGTCCCCCGACCCAGTCCATAATCTTATATCCTTAAATCAGTAAGTAATTACCAGATTTAATTCCAACAAATTCTCCTATTTATTTCATTAATTAATGAACAAGAAAAGAGAAGTCTAGGCATACTTACAAGAGTATGCTTCGTCACAAGATTTGTTGTCCTTTTGCTGTTGGTTACATTTTCAGACCTGCCTTGGGATTTATCATTAGAATAATTACGAGAGTGGTTTTGGAATTTATCATGAGATTCATGATCATGTGTCCTATGACCATGGACTGCATTCTCGATATAGAAATTCCGGTATCTCCATCTTAATTTAGGATTATTACATGAATCATCAAAAATCCTCTCCGAGTAGAAATGCTTAGATATAAGCTGCTTTAACAAAGGATCATTCTGGTATTTTGTCACCATTCTGTCATTTAACAAAAATTAAAATATGTGAAGTAAATGAAAATCAATTGAATAAAAATAACGATGAAATAGGAGAGTCCACTGGAGCTGAAGTTCTTTTTTCTTTCAATGTCAATCCAGAGATATACATAATTTCAAGGGGATAACTGCAACGATGATAATCATATTTCAAATAGCCAATTGGTGGCCACGAAACTTTAACTACTGCTCACAACAAAAGATTCGCTAAAACAGGTATCAACTCTCAACTTGCATATTTTATAATTAACAATTAAGGATTTTTTGTATGTATTTTATCAATCAAGTTAAAAGTAATACTGTGGGTCCTGGTGTTTGCATATGTAGCCACTCTAGCTCCTGCATTTTGTATAGGTTTAATTAATACAAGTTAGACTTTGTACTGCCATTTAATCATAAGTTGTGTCTTTATAATGCATCTTAATTTAAATATGATGATAGCAAACTGGAAACAACTAAGACTTAAAATCCCAAATTATATCAGCCTATCAGGCAGTCACTGAGGTAACAGCTTTGCAGTTAGAATGAATATGTGTGTTTGGATTACGGTTTTAAGCGGAACCAAAAATTCATTTGCACTTCCAATGCACAAAACCGAGAAGTAATAACACCACTGGATTGAAAAAAAAATGTGGGATACGCTCATGTGAACTATAACCCAAAATCACTCCATAATGATCACCTCATTTTTCAACTTACCGTATATAATCCTATACTATGCAATAATAAATCCTCCATTGCTTCTAATAAATCTTCACTATCATTGATATCATATCAAATGCATCCTAAATTTTCTTTTATCTTATTTGAAACAGGTTGCATATATCCCTCCATTTAATAAGCTACTTCCTGCTTCAATTCAGAAAATTGACACTTGACATTGATCTAGTTACACAAAAAACATCTGTAGTTTTAATTCTCTAGCCACCTATTGTACACAAAACAGTGAGCGAAAGCCAAGCTGACTTGCTCAGCTTATGACAGAGCTTTTACTTTAAGCCTACTAAAGAACACCAAAGAACGAGATAGTAATTGGAACTTACTGCACAAGTAAACAATGTTTACCAAGTGCAACTGAGAGGAGAAAACCTACATATTCGCTAACTCCTTCTGCAATATACTACCATCCATTGAAAGAATCTGATCTGCACAAGAATACAAGGTTCTACTAAATAGCAACAGTCCACAGAAAGCACCAGCTCCTGCAAAAGGATAAGACACAAACAAGAGTAACGTAGGAAGGCCTTAGGAAAACTGTAGAGATAAAGATACAACAAATGGTTTCTCTTACCAGCGGAAAGGTTGACTCGAAATGGTTTGCTAAGTTTCCAAGTTGCTGCAATAAAGGTATAATGCTTATGGTCATACTAACCCTAATGATAATCTGCTGTAACTATGGCAGTATAATTAAAATATATAGGAACCTTCCTGGCTATGCAGCTCTAGAATAAGAAGTAAGACAATGACCCCATCCCCTCCATCAGGATGTTAAGGCAATAACTATAAGACAAAGAACAAAGCCTTTTTTTCTCTTAGCTTAGTTAACCTTACAATCACTACCAGTGCTTGGACTAGTCACCAGTCAGATTACTTTTAACACATTAAACACACAATGATCCAAAGCCAAAATTTTCATTTATTCAAACAATATTCAGCGAATCATTATAACTTAGAACCAAAATAATTAAGGACACTGAAATCACAAACCTGCCCATGCAGCAGTACCCCCAGCAAGTGCACTAGCAGTGAAATCCCTCACAGCTTTGGATTTGCACGAGAGTAGAATATTTAATTCCTGAGGTGTCAATTTTTCCTAGAAAAGAAAAAGGCAATATTTGGTGATAATTGCACCGCCGTCTCTCAGGTTCATTATCAACGAACTTTCACAATGTGTACACAAAACCTTTTCAAAGAAATTTGAAGGCACAGAAACATGTCCTTCCATGATTATCGCCAATTAAGAGAAACAATGAATTCGTGCTCTCAGAAGTGAGAATGAAGAAATGGCAGTAAAAAGTAGACAGTGTAACAGTAAACCTCGGAATTAGCATGATCCGGGATATGCATTGACACTGATTTCTTAAAAATGAATTGAAGGAAAAAGGAATTTGACATTGGAATAAGATATGGAGGGAAAATCAAAACCCTAGCTGTAGCGGAAACAGGGAGAAAAGGAAAAAAGGAAGAACCTTCTTGGAAATGAGAACTTGTTCAAGATCGAACAATGCTTCGCCCATTACGTTCCCTTCTCTTCTTGCCTGCTTTCTTCCAATCCAGATACAATCTTCATCCACTCAACTTCTGCTCTCGCTATTATTAGTTTCTTCTTCTTTAATTTATATGAATTTTCAATGTAATTTTTGGACTGGTTTTATTTTTTCTTTTTTCTTTTTAAGAAATAAAGAGGTAGGAAAACACTTACACGTAAGCAATATTTATTTTAAAATAATCAAGTTTTATAATAATAAATAACTTTTAATATATAATTTATATTCATAATGTTTTCGAAAGTAATTCATCTTCGTAACATAATAAATATATATTTAATTGAAAGCAGAAGCTGAGGCATGGCCATGAGCATGAGCATGAGTATGAGTATGAGCACGAGGTTGGTTCCCAGTGAGAAGATTTTGTTGTTGGAATCATGCAAAACACTTAGGCATGTGAAGCAAGTGCATGCTCAAATCCTCCGTTCCAATGTGAATAACTCTGCCTCTCTTCTTCTCAAACTCGTTCTTTGCTGTTGCACCCTTTCTTCTCATTCTCCATCAGCCCTTCACTATGCCCTCTCTCTTTTCACCCACATTCCAAACCCGCACACCCGTTTCTCCAACCAGCTCTTCCGTCAATTTTCTCGAGGCCCCACACCGGAAAACACTATCTTTCTCTATTACCTCCTCAGGAGAAACGGTTCCCCTCTCGACAGGTTCAGCTTCCCCCCTTTGTTGAAGGCCGTCTCCAAACTTTCTGCCTTGAATCTGGGTTTGGAAGTTCATGGCTTGGCTTCCAAGTTGGGCTTTCTTGCTGACCCTTTTATTCAAACTGCTTTGATTGCCATGTACGTGGCATGTGGACGCATTATGGATGCCCGTTTGGTGTTTGACAAAATGTCTCACCGGGATGTCGTTACCTGGAACATTATGATTGATGGGTACTCCCAGAGTGGTCAGTATGACCATGTTTTAAGGCTCTATGAAGAGATGAAGAGTTCTGGTCTGGAGCCAGATGCTATTATTCTTTGTACTGTGCTTTCGGCTTGTGGTCATGCAGGAAAGTTAAGTTTTGGCAAAGCAATTCATGAGTTCATCAGAGATAATGGTTTTCGTGTTGACTCTCATCTACAGGCTGCTCTTGTTAATATGTATGCGACTTGTGGTGCTATGTATTTGGCAAGGGAAGTCTATGATCAACTTCCGTCAAAACATTTGGTTGTTTCAACTGTGATGCTTTCGGGGTATTCCAAGATTGGAATGGTTGAAGATGCGCGCTTCATATTTGACCAAATGGTTGAGAAGGACTTGGTGTGTTGGAGTGCCATGATATCTGGTTATGCTGAGAGTGATCAGCCCCAGGAGGCTCTTCATTTGTTTAATGAAATGCAAAGACAGAGAATGCTTCCTGATCAGATCACGATGCTGAGTGTCATTTCTGCTTGTGCTCGTGTTGGTGCACTTGTTAAAGCGCGATGGATTCATTCATATGCAGATAAAAATGGTTTTGGAAGAGCTCTTCCTATCAACAATGCCCTGATCGATATGTATGCTAAATGTGGGAACTTGGTCAGAGCAAAAGAGGTATTTAAGAACATGCCAAGAAAAAATGTGATATCTTGGTCCAGTATGATCAATGCTTTTGCCATACATGGGGATGCTGACAGTGCCATAGCTCTTTTCCATAGGATGAAAGAACAAAATATCGAGCCCAATGGGGTTACGTTTATAGGTGTACTTTATGCTTGCAGTCATGCAGGGTTGGTTGAGGAGGGCCAGAAATTCTTTTCCTCCATGGTCAATGAGCACGGCATTTCTCCCCAACGTGAACACTATGGTTGCATGGTAGACCTGTATTGCAGAGCCAATCTCTTGAGAAAAGCCTTGGAGCTTACTGAGACTATGCCTTTTCCGCCAAATGTTATCATTTGGGGATCCCTAATGTCTGCTTGTCAAAATCACGGTGAGGTTGAGTTAGGGGAATTTGCTGCCAAACGAATTCTTGAGTTGGAGCCTGATCACGATGGGGCTCTGGTAGTTTTGTCAAACATTTATGCCAAAGAAAAAAGGTGGGATGATGTTGGACTGGTCAGGAAATTAATGAGAAATAAAGGTATCTCAAAGGAGAAGGCATGCAGTAGAATTGAACTGAATAATGAGGTGCATGTGTTTATGATGGCAGATAGATATCATAAGCAATCAGATGAAATATATAGAAAGTTAGATGCTATAGTAAGTCAACTGAAGTTCGTTGGCTACACACCCAGTACTTCAGGCATTTTGGTTGATTTGGAAGAGGAAGAAAAAAAGGAAGTAGTTCTCTGGCATAGTGAAAAATTAGCACTGTGCTACGGGCTAATTAGTGAGAGAAAAGAATCATGCATTCGCATAGTTAAAAATCTTAGAATATGTGAGGATTGTCATTCCTTTATGAAATTGGTCTCGAAGTTGTACCAAATAGAGATTGTTATGAGAGATAGGACTAGGTTTCACCATTTTAATGGTGGGATTTGTTCTTGTAGAGACTACTGGTGAATTATTTCAATTCGTAAATTGTTTTAAACTGGCATATCCTCAATTTGGTCCTGCCCAATATATGTTACGTTTCAGCTTGGTGAGGGTTCACTGCTATCAAGTTTATCATTATTTATAGCTTTGATGAAAATTGTTATGAATGTCAAAATAGGATTATCCAATATATTGGTCCTACCTTCCAATAAATAAGTTAAGATAGAGCTAAAAATTTGTAACTAAATTAAATCAGGTTTATTTTTGTATAATCTGTTTAAATTATTTAAATTATGATATATATGAATTTATATTAAATTAACCTGTCAACTTAAGAGTTAGTCCTTTTAATAAAATAATAATTTTTTAAAATAAAAATAAAAATAAAAATATTATTTTATTAAAAATATATATAATTATAAATTAATTTGATAAGAAATGTATTTTGTTAAGAGTTCATATAATAAAATTGTAAGTTTTTAATAATTATTTAATTCAAGATCTAATAATTAAATCAATGAATTTATAAAATAAAAATGATGATAATAAAATATAAATTTTTACATTTATGATAAGATTAAATGATTAATTATCTTATAATTTATATATTAAATAATTATATTTTAATAAAATTTAATTTCATTAATATAATTTAAATTTTTATTTTTATTTTTAATTAATTTTTTTAATTAATTACTTTGTTATAAATAGGTTAATAATTTATTTTATTTTTAATCAGATTAAATTTACCTTGTTGATCTAATATAAGATTAAATTAAACTAAAAATTATAATTATTTTAGAATATAAACCAATTTATTTCATAAACTTTTATTTAACTAAACCACCGTTTTAAAATATAAAGCAGTTTGGGTGATGAGATTTTTTATTTTTACTAAACCAATGCTGAATAGGACAGCATCTTTTCACAACTCCAATAATTATCATAAATTGGTTTCTTTTGGTTGAATAAGATTCATTTGACAGTTAATAATAGAAAATTTTGACCACGTTACTTTACAGATGCCATGTCTGCTGTACCATTAGCCTGTAATCAAACTCGATGATTGTGCTATAATTATTCATCTTCAATTTTATTTGATAATCATATGGTTTTCCAGCAATCATACTTTGTTTGACTGAATGGGGTGATGGATAAGATGAATCAAAGAGGGTGGTTGAATAATAACTCAAGGTGTGTGCCAATTGGCCTCACAGATATACACAAGGCTCCACTGAAGGGCAGTGTAAAGTTCTTGAGATTGAAAAACAGGTCATGTATGAACATCTGCAGTAAAATTTTCACTGCATGAGTTTAATTTACCTTCTCATGTTCATTTTTAACAGAGAGGATCCATTTCTCTGGAAATATTTGTAACGAAGCGAATGCTCCAACAACGTCCATACAAAACAAGTTCGTATTATGACTTAGAAGCGGCCAATTTTCTAAAATTCACACAAATGTTACTAACTTAATGCTTACGGAAAATCATTGCACTTGAAGAATTGGAATCCATGCGTGGTTGCCTAGTGGCGGCTACGATTCATCACGACACCACCAACTCCGAAATGGCATAATCGTGGTACTATATTTCACACAAATGTTAATGTTAATTAAGTACCTTAATGATCGCATTTCATCAACCATCTTCGGCTGCAACAAATGGAATTAGTGCCTTCGCCACTTGCTTTAATGGACCTTTATGGAGATTCTATGCCTCATCCTCAGCAAAACTACCGTCACCCACATAACATAACGTGGTTAGATAAAAAGCAGAAAATTGCATACTATCATTATGTAAGACAAATTGTGATCATGGCATTTTCCATTATACCAACAGGGCAGTGAAAAAAGTTCACATTTTTTTGTGTTTGAAAGTCGAGGGATAGGGAGTGAGAAGTTGACCTTCGGACTTGCTTTATATTAATCAAATTCCCATATATAAGTTTATGGACAAGAAATGATGGCGTCAAACTTGTGTAGACAAATATTTTCAATTGAATATTATTGAGTGAAATCTAGTACCAGTTGCACTAAAGGACTGGTCCCTTATTATTTAGTAAAACTGAGATGAAAAAGGAGTGCTCAAAAACTGCACGTTAAACCTAACAGCATCAAATATCACTTGGCTTGCAAAGTACGTTAGTTTCGTTGAGATCTTATTGAAAGACAAAACGGATGCCAAATTTTGTTTACACGTGAATCATTTCCAGGTTTGAAGATCACCCATATGTTAACAACGTTATTAATTAACAGAGGGATTAGTCATGTAATCAGTCACAAGCATGAAAATTGGTGAATAACTTTTTTTCATCTTAAGCAGAAAGCGTTGTATGGTACGATCTGTCTCATGCAGAATAAAGTTGGGATTAAATAGTTTATCTTGGAAATTAGATGGCTGCTGCCAAGAAAGGAAAAACAAAGAAAAAAGAGAAGAAAAAGAGGGATGAAGTGATACAGCACGCTCTGTACAAGACAAAATGAGAAACTTAGCCACAAAAGTCTAAGTATAAACTTTATTTGAACGAAACGAAAGAGAGTTTATATGGTGTTCCATGTTCCCAACTTGCAAGCTCCTCTGTTTTTCATCAGTGCAACGTGAGAGTGGAGGAATCAGTGACTTGAGAAGTGGTGTTTGACCTGCTACTGTACTTGCTTGACGATGAAGTCAAGTCGCTTGACCTTCTCCTCAGCATCTGCCTCATCCCATCAGCAACTCTAACCGCGGGGTTCGATTTGATCTTCCCACAGAATGACATGTGAGCTTTGACAGCTTCATCCATATCAAAAGGCCTTTTCTCTCTGTTAACTTCGTCTCTCACTGCTTCTGAGCACAACCCACATAACCATTTGCCGTCAAACTTTGCCTTCACGTCGCGGATATATTCTGGGGTGCACTCCTCTTTGAGGCCACAGCACTCACACTTGACCGATTCAACTTCCATATCTATCTGTGTGGACAAGCCCTTTCTTAACTCTTATCTCCGTTTATAGCTTTATGAGGAGGAGAGTGAAAATGAGAATCTTTGGATAATGGCAGCCACGGGTGGTTTTCTTTCTTTTGGTTGGATTCGAGCGCAATGATGACAGAGCCAGTGTTGGTTATTTACTTTATGTTGGCATGATGTGTGCTTTCTCACTTGGGATTGATGGTTTTGTTGCTTCAAGAACTAGTAAGTGTCTGTTGTTCAACCAGAGCTTTTATGGTGTTTGAGATGAAAGAGAGAATGGAGATTTAAGTAGGGAATACTGCCATAATTTCTTCCATGTTCTAAGGGACATGGGGATGTGGAAAATAAGAAGAGAGTGGTGGGAGGGGCCTTAGCTATGACCCTACTTCGCATTTAATATACAATTAATAATGTCACACATCAGCATCTAATCAAACACATGAATCAACTTAACTAAATACTACTACTATCTAATAATATCTATCCTATTCCTTGCTACTAATCCATTATCCAAGCCTCGTAAATTGAACTAAGCAAGGGCCAGAAATACATGAAGGTGGGGCAATGTGTGCATGGATTCTTTTATAGCATGTTTATTTATGTTGTTTTGTCGTCGCTTTTGGTAGTTTGTCCTGTAGTTCTACTCTACTGATGTTAAACAGACTTCATTTTCACAACTTTATGATTATTATCAGTCCCAGGGATTCTTTTTTACGATTCTACTTTATTCAACTCACACGCACCCACCTTCCAGATGGTGCTTAGTTATGGATCGAGTTGCATGACTCGTTATTCTTTTCTTTTGACCTGATATGGGGGTTAGAAAGGTGAATGCTTTGTATTTAGCTTCCCTTTTTCTTCTCTCATATGAACACCCATTTGATACGATAATGTGTAATCATTTTAAAAATATAGTATAAAATATGATATGGCAATTCCATGGATCTAAAACAATGATTTTTCCTTTAATTAAGAGTTAATGAAGGAGAAAACTGATAAGCTCGAAGCACATGGCGATATAGGGTAGTCTTGTAAGTCTGGTCAGCATAATAAATTCTATGAATTTTGAGTGCTGACTAACTATTTTCCTAACAAAGGCCATGTGAAGATTTGTGAGCATTTAGTGAGGTAAGGCAGTCACAATCACTACTTAGAAAAATCTTGTAGCTTTATTGACAACATGGCACTGTCCCCCTAGCTGGACTGTATCAACTTCAGTTGATTAAATGAATATGAATTCTAATCATCTTTCTGCAATGTCCATTTCAAAATTTGATCAGATTACCCAAATCTTTTTCTTATTTACGTTTGATGAGACAAAGTTGTATTCAATTAAGCTTCAATTGTGGGGACTGCGGAGAGTGGTTGGTCTTGTTGTGGAATTAATCAAGCTTCAGTTCAGATTATGAGTCCATCCAAAATGTGAAAAAAAAAATTGAACTTGTACATCTTTTATTTCTCTTGTTAAGCATTATTGTTATTCACTAAGTCACTATAAAATAAAATTCAATCGACAAATGAATGTGACAGAACAATAAATTGACACTTGACTACACAATGCCGAAATTTCTAGGGTCCTGCAAGTTGCAATAATACAACAAAATTTCTCGAAAACAATTATGTCTTTTCCATTTTTTTCCTTGGTGTGTAGAAGGAACAAAATCTCTTTATGGGAAATGTATGAGTTGCTTGGTTGAGTTGGCAAATAAAGTTTCCATTGTTAAGATGTTAATGAGCTAGAAAAATATTGGTTTAATTTGAGAATAATATTGGTAGTAAAAGTTGGCACTTTCATGGGTCTCCTTTTATGTGACGCGACATTGAGTGTATCCTAACATCATTAAATTGAAATTAATGAATTATTAGAGGATTGGAGTGGTAGAATTTGCTGGAATTTAAATGTATGTTGTGTGTGGCCTAGGGTTCTTGAAGGTTGCTTTCACCAACAATATTGGGTTGGGTCTAATAGTGTTGATTCATTTTCAGAAGCAAATAGATGCACACACGTACTCGAATTTGGATTTGTGTGACATCGTAATTGGTCTCTGAAACCTTCACGAATTGTTTTTGCGACAAAAGGGATGGTATTCAAAGTCAGAGTTGGTGCGTATTCAAGACATTCGCATGTGCATGCTCTCTACCCTACTTTGCTTTTATTTATTGCATTTTTCATTTTTCATTTTCCTCATACTACACCACCCCATAACTTTTTAATTACTTCTCATCTTTTTATTTGCTATAAATAATTTCACTCTCTCAGATGTCATTAATCGTTGCAAACCTAATATTGAGGTAAGCAAAGTTTGGTTTTCTTTGTTGTTTTGAAGAAGCAAAGGATTCAAAGATGGAAGACCTTGTCTGGTTGGTGTCCGGCAATTCCAGTCACCACAAACTGTTGTGTTCCGGTAATGTCACAGATTACAACTGTTGTAAAAAAATCTAATATATATTCAAATTAATAAATTGTTTTAAGAATGTTTAATATATTACTAATAATATACTCATATTCATATTATTTTTAAAATATGATTAAATTAATAAGGATAAAATTGAAAGAAAAAAATGTATTTTTTTTCGTCTCTAAATTGGAAACACCATAATATTTCTAACTAAAGTAGGCTAGATTAGACCGATGATGAATAGGCCCAATACATATGAGCCCCGTTAACAAGTATGCGGGCCTCGCTTGATAAGGCCCATTTCCTCCCGGGGTGAGGCTCTCATGCAAAGTCCTTAAAAATTCAAAATATAAAAGCCGATGAACAATTGCAACTTAAAGAAACAACATGCTGGTAAATGTGAATGCATAATTCGATGCAAATAAATGAACCCTCCCTTTGTTAATTTGTTACTCTTTGAAGCAATCAAGTCTCTAACAAAGAAACAATGACAGCGACCAATCATTCCATACCCTACCATGGCCATAACATAACAAGACCCCATGTTGAGTTTGTGGATTCAAATTTTCTTGTTAAGATATCAAACTTTGTTTCCCACTTGTGGTGCCATGTTTTTTTGTTCATGTCATTCACTCTGCTTCTGTTTATTGCAGTAGTCTCCAGGCATTATTTTGGTCACTCAAAGCTTGTTACATTAATTTGATTCCGGGATAGTGATTTCTTAAACATCAAATAACCCAAAAGTTAATGCTTTGCCAATTTTTGTAAGAGCGACATGTTCCTTCAGAAGATCTTTGGCAGACACAATTCTCTTTACTTCAGAATGGTAGTAGTACAATGTATATATAAAGGTGTATTATTAATCTTTGAAGATTTGGGATCTAGGCCCAGTGAAGTTGTCGTCCCAGAAGTGGGGGCATGGCAGAAGAAAGAAAGAAAGAAAGAATGGAAAGTAAATGGAACCATTGCTAATGATTAGTCAACTGCTGCAGTGATTGCTTCCAGAAAGATAAAGTGAAAGTTTTTATGATGAAAGTAAAAGGGTAATGATAAGACCAATACTGTTTTATCACACCTTGGACTAAGCAACTCCGTAACACCAAAAATAAACCAGGTTTATCAAGTTATTATTAGGAAAATTTGAAAAGAAAAGACAAGTACAGCTATTGATAATCAAAACTATGTTGCTTCAGCCACTTTCATTTTGTGTAACTTACTCCATGAGTATCCACCAGAGCTCACAATTCTTCCAAAAGGTAAGAACCCCAAGTTGGTAAGCATTTTCTTTATTCTAGAAAAATTTTAATCCGAGTAAACCAAGTAGAAGATACTAACAAACATATATCAGTAATAAAATAAAAAATTGTTTATTTTGCAGAAATGAAAAGTCCTTTATTAAAAAATTGGATATAGATCTTCCTTAAATATTATAAAATGCTGATAAAGTTTAGTATGTGAAAAATTGAAGGGTTGTGAAGTTTATTGGTGGTGATAGAGGAATCATAAAGACAAAGTGCGGTTGAGTAAAAAAACTACCAATCAACCGAATAAAGGTTCGACGTTAATTGTTAGTGTCTTCTTCTTTTGTCAAGATAAACAACAAATTGGCTTCTTCTAACTCTCCTTTTCCAAATTGGCAGAGTCATTCCTCAAATGCAGTCAGAAAACTGTTGCTACACCATGTGCAGATCCTCAAAAATATAGTTGACACGATGTGATTGGTCCTACGTGGGGAAACTATAGCATGTATTATTACTGTGGACAACTTTAAGAGCAATGCAAAACCAAATAGCATGCTCCTAGTTAATCGTTTCCATTAAAATCTTCTCTACAGTATTTCAGCCTTTTATTTTCAATCTTTTCCACCTTCTACAGAACTACCACCGAGAAAGAGAGAAACAGAAAGAACAAAACCAGGTACAACGGATCCAGGATCTCCAAGGACCACTTTATGTCCCAAAAATGAATCTTTGCAAATGCAACTAACCAAAATGAAAAGGGTTATTATAAGAGTTCTTTGAAGGAAAGCAAAGAAGGAAGGAAGGTAGATTAGTAGGAAGGAACTGAATTATGCCCCTTGATGTAGATCTCCAGCTTTCAATTTGCTCATCATCTCCTCTTCCAACAGCATTCCCTCGTCACGGCATTCAATGCTGCAAAATGCTCTCTCGCCCCTGAATTTTAACCACACAACTACACTCATAAGCTGTTTCCACTAATTAAGTGGTCAACATATTTTCACTTAATTTTATTCAGAATCTGTCTTTTAACCAATCACCAACTGGAAATACTAGATTCAAAATTTCCCACTATCTTGCTGTCAGTTTATGAGCTATGGATAAATAAAGGACAAGAAATTCTTAAATATCTTTTGCCATTCTCTAACCCAAATTCAAATTTCAACTCCCTGGTTTCTTGTTAACATTAAATAAGAACTTTAAAGTCCAATTCTGATTTAAAAATAGGAGTAGAATCACCTATAAAAAACCTTCATCAGAGTGTTTTCCATGAATCAAATATCTCTTGACATTCTACTGGGACAGGCCAAAGAAGGAAGAACGAGAGAAATGATTCTGAAAGTCACTAAATTATAATCCATTATGATCACAATGTCAAGTTTAACCCTGCCAAGTGGTCCAAAGCAAAGGCAAAAAGGGGAGGTAGGAAATATAATCTTTTGTCCATGAAGTGGTGAACAATATAATACAGTTATGATATCACAAAAAATTTAAGCAGAGATTAAAATTTGTACTCAACGAACATGTCAAATTTTCTGTTTAATTCACATCCAAATCCTAGATGCTAATTTGATATGCGCTTCCAAATCAAGTAGCAGAACTTTAAAAGATTGTCAAAATTTGTGTTTATGGGTATGGATACAGAAGAATAAAAAAAAGAAGCAGCAATTACCTGTACATGTAGATGTCCATATCGTGCCCAAGATTTTTGTTGCAGTAAAAACAGAAGCTCATGAAGCTCTCGGAGGAATAACTGGTGTGAGGAGGAAGAAACACATTTTCCATGGGAGAAGAAGAGCATCCAACATCAAAACAGCCACTCTCAACGATGCAGTTATCAAATATGTGAGTGGTTCTTGGGTTGGGCCCGTGGGAAATCACTCGAGTGTAGTCCTCAGAAAGCTCCATTTCGCTAGCAGAGAGAGACCCCGTGAAAACTTTTGAAGATTTGGAGGGTTCACGGGCTGAATTGGCAGAACCAAACACAGATTTAGGTGATTGAGAAGGAGAGACTGTTGGATGAGGCAGTGGAGGATTCTGAATCTTGAGCTGGGATCCAAAGAGAATCATTCTGCTTTGTGACTTTGATGCAATTTCCCCAGGCTTGTTGTCATCAACAAGAGCATCAACAAGACCCTTTGAATCCAATTTATCCCAATAACGCTTGTGTTCACCAACCAGGGTTCTGGGGCTGTTTGTTTCTGACCTAAAAGGGTTTTTAAGGCCAGATGAAGGCTTGCTGTCGAGTATTGAGGTTGGACTCATCATAGCCTCAGTCTCACACAACACTTTCGATGTGAAATTGGCGAATAGCTTCGGAGAACTGAAGAAAGATGATACCAGTTTCTTGTATTTTTCTGGTATAGATGATGAGGAACTACAAAACGCCATCAGAATAAGGGTTTGTCAATCAATAGAGGATGCTCTCTCTCTCTTTATCACCACGGTTCATTTTTATTCTACATGAAAATAGTCACAACTGTAAAACAGCACCCCAGAATTTAGAAGATTTGAATATACATGTATAAATGTGAGTGTTGCACGAAAGAGAGAGATTAAAGTAATCACCTGAAGGGAAACTGCCATAACTTGGAGATGACAACATCAAAAAACCAGTTCTATGCTTATCTGCAGTATTGGAGGCTTGTACTACTAACTAATGTAGTACACTCCACGACACATGTGCAAAACTGCAGTCAAATAAATTCACTTTCATGTGCAGAGTCAGAAGCCAGAAACTTGGAACAAGTTTCCATGAAACCCCTCTCTCTCTCTGTCTTGTTGTTTACAGATTATGCTACCTGAGTAACATCCATTTCCTAAAGCAGTGAGAAAATTGGGGAAGAAGAAAAGGAAAAAAAAAAAAAAAGAGAGAAAAAACCGAACGGGAATGGTCACTTTTTTCCCGGCTTTGTCGCCCTCTATTGCTCCATCTGAGAGAATAGAATCAAAAGGGGGCTCAGAAACGACATGCAAAGAGAGTCTCAGTGGTCATGATCAAGGGACCAGAGGTGCATGCATCACACATCAGAAACAAAGGAGGGTTGTTTGTAGTTTTGCTTCTTATTTTCGCTACCTTTCAATTTTTATTTTTGCGTTTGTGTCTGGGAGTGCCATTATTTCCCAAACACACCAAGGCTCACAAGGGAGAGTAAAACCAAAACTGGTCCCTAAATTCGCATTTAACCACCGGAACGTAAAATGCCAAATAATTATAACAAGAAAGAGAAAAGAAGCAACAATGATAAACCATGAATGATGAAAAAAAGGTTTTTTTTTTTCTCTCTTCTCTCTCTATGTCCTATTCAGAAATATCAGTAGTATTATTCACCTTTTAAGTTAACCCTTTTGTTTTGTGAGTTGAGTAGTGGGATTATCTTGGTTGATGTTCATTTGGGCACTTCAGTGTGTGGGATGATGAAATCCTGAGAAGATGGCTCATAGACAGGAGAGGAGCAGAGTGAGGGAAAAACAGAAAGCGATTTGGTGGGTTACCACGACGACGCGTGTGCATAAGAATCACTGGTTTTAATTTAAAAACATTGACTTTGCTCTCAACCATGGCACTTGCAATTAACTCTCTTCGGCTTGTAGGACAAAGTAAGGAGGCACTCCAATTCAAATAAAAATTACTTTTATGCAAACTATTTATTTTACATTTTTTTAAAATATTAATAATGCACTCCAAATTTAAATCAAAATATTTTATACCATAAATAATTCTACCCAGATTAATTAGTTACTATTCTTTTTTAGTAAATTACACTTCTTTAAAACTTGTTTGGTTTCATCCTTTTTATAAGACCATGTCTTAATATTGTTTAACTTTGTTTGTCTTCTATAAGAAGTATTTCGAAAACTTACTTTAACAACAAAGACATGTAGCCAATAAACTTAAATCAATAAGTATATCAATTTGTAAAATCTAAAAAAGTTAAAAAAAATATGATATGTATAATGTTAAAAATAGTTTTGAAATTCAAAACAAATTAATTTTATCAATCTTAATAAATTATTTAATTAAATCATAAAAGGATGGAAGAAAATAATATCATTTATTTATTCCCAAACAAATGATTGGTTGAATGGCGATGGATAAATTGATTAAGAAGGTTTTTAGATTTTTATTAGTGTAAGATTTTTAGATTTTTCTTTTTAATAATATATAATTAACTTTTTATAAATGAAAAAAAAATAAAGGTTCAATTAAGATTATTCTTAAAGATTATAAACAAAAATTATTGTATTAATGAAAATGCTATTGATAATATTTTGAAATTCACTTGAATTTTGTTTTCAAACCTTATAGAAAAGGATCAATACAAATAACAAAACTGAATTACATGCAAATTAAGTTACATTACAACGGACAAAATACATAAACTACATCGTTTTCAATATATTTTTTAAAACAATTTAGAATGCAATTTCAACAATATTTTTATTATACTTTATTTAAAAAAAGGTTGTTACCATCAACTATGACACAACATTAAAATAAAAATATTTATAATTAAATAGTCTAATTGAATGATGAAGTATTGTTTGTACATTTATCATAGAAAAATATGTGAAATAACATTTTAATATATAGTTTATTTCATATGTAAAGGATATTAAAATAACATTCAAAATTATTCTTCATTTCTCACATTAAAAAGTTTCTTCGTATCAATTGAATTTAAAACCAGTGAATGGTTCCTCTTTTTTGCAAATATGACACCCAAATTGATATATTGACTGGAAAAAAAATGAGCTGAAAAAAAAATGCTTTGAATATGATGAATATTTTTTATTATTATCAACAAACATTTGTTGTAGGGATATTTTTAACATCTAAGTCAAAATTTTAAAATATAAAGTATCATATGAGAGAAATAGACAATAATATTTATGAAAATTTTAAAAAATGGTAAAAAATTTTAAGATATATACATAAAATAAAATAAAATTACGGATTAAAATAATTGTAGATTTTTCCTTATTATTTTTTTAATACAATATACTAAATAGTAAATTTATCAAAAATTATATTACAAGAAAAAAATAATGATAAATAGTGAAATTTTAATTATTAGCAAGTGAATTTTCTATATAGAAATACTTAATTTATTAAAATAAATAAAAAGAGTCAAATTAATTACTTTTAATTAACAATGTTATGAATTTAAGTTTTATTTTTAAAAAAACTATATTTAAATGGTTTCAGTGTGGTAATTATGTGCATGACACTATTTATATTTCATTAATTTTATATTAAAAAAGTGATACCTAATTAAAAAGCTTTGCAAATAAATTTAATACACAAAATAAAAAATTAACAATTGATATGTTAATTTGAGAGAGGTCATATATTTCTTTTACGACGTAGGAAAAAAACTATCATTTGTTTGTTGTATAAAATATCAAATATATTATATTTTAATTTTATATAGTATAAAATTTGATTAGACATGTGAGAAAAAAATTTGTCAAATTAATATACTAATGATTCAATTATTGAATAAAAAGTTTTTTTAAAAAATAAAATTAAATACTGACAGAAAAAACTCTCCATTACCTTAACTCATTTTTATTGATTAAGCAATCTATAATTGAAGAGTCATATCTATAACTAGCAAGACCATTATTAACTGATAATTCTTGGTAAACTCTTTACGCAGAATTCATACAGCACATTTTCACCAACCTGAAAATTATGATCTTATCCCTGCTGCAATATTGCTATAACATGTTCATGTTAATCCCTTGTATCATCATCCCCTTCCCTCCAAGTTAATTCCCTTGATGGATGGATAACATGTTCACCTTTCTAACTGCAAAATATAGATGATTTTCTTACCTTCTGTGTAAATAGGTAAACTCAAGCACCAAGGGCAAATCTGAGAAATACAGAAGTGTACCAAAAGCACCTGCAGAAAATGGCCGACAATGGAAGAACAAAACGAAACAAGGGTTTGACTGAAGTATTCGCATGATCAACAGTACTTTTAGCCAGTTACCAACTCCATCTACGCAATTAGTAATTGAAAAAACAATATCAGCAAAGAACCTTTTATTATGCAGACATGTAATATGTTATGAGGAACCTACTTCTTCGAGTTTCATTTTAGGGCTACATGGTCAATGCTTCTTCCTTTCAGAAACTCTCTTCTTCATTCATTCCCAGGGATTCAAACAAGGAAAAATTTACAAGTAACAGAATGAAAAATATTAATCAGAAGAAGAATCCAGCTATGTTTTGTTTGAAAAGATATCTATCAACATATTAGCAAATAATAATAAAGATCATGATTATTTTGCAATTTCAATTTTTACACTCACAATCTACTCATCTTTATCTCTCTTTGTTTACTTTTCGCATAGATCTATATGTTCTCTCCTTTTTTTTCCTATATCGCATAGGCTTGGGTGTTTACACCAAAGAGTACTGTCACATGATCCTTATTCATACAACTAGCAATATCTAGTTAAAGCTAAGAGAAACAGGAAACATAGGCAAATTCGTGAAAATACATAAAAATGAAACAGTAAAATCACTCGATCTGCAGTTACACGCCCCCCAAGAAATTTAACTAACGATCGAGGGCAAGAAAATTAAGGTGTTAGAGAAAGAGGAAGGAACTACTAGACCGAAGAAAATGATGGAGATTGACAGGAAGAGAAAAGAGCACGCACAACAAAGGTATGTGGTCATATATTTGCAGCATGTGCTCCCTTTCTTCTGTCAATCTCTGAAAGACCGTTTAGTTTTGGTTGAGCGATGAGCATGCCCTAATAATACTGGTATTCTACGTTTCGGTTAGTTTCCTTCTCTTTAATTTCGCTCTTGTTCTTCTTCTTGTGGCAAATGATTTGCACTTTGTGTCACATAACAACGTGATTTTGTTGATGGAGGAAGAAAAAGGGAGGGAGAAGTGTGTCGGAGTAAATGGAGACTTTATTATTTGTGATGAGATGATGGGACGTTAAGGAGGGAAAAAGTGGAGACATGAGAGAAGGGACAATAGGTTAGGGGTGGTAAGTTTCAGGTGTCGAATTGGGATTGGTCCATGAGAGTGAATTGAATTAAAAATGGTCCCAAAGAAAGTAGAGACTACTGCTAGTTTCTACTCACCTTATCCCTGATCAACTCAGGTACGGTTCAGTTTGTCTGTCATAGCAAGTGCTTGGTAGATATGGATGCCCTTAACATCTAATTTAATTTTACTCAACTCATACATGTCCAGTTTCAATGTTTAGTAATATACATATCAGTTCATACACTGTTTCTGCAACTCCATATTAAATCATTCTTGTACTGGATGCATGAAATATGTGTAGTAAAATCATTGATGTAACACCAAAAAGGTATTTTGGAAGTGATGAAGTTAAATATTTTTTTAAGGTTGCTCTTAGCTTGTTGGGTTTGTGGAAATATTTTGACTTCAGTTTCAACCAGTTTTATATATGGTGATATTCCTTCCAAACCTTTTGCACCATGAACCTGACATCATTGGTATCTTGAACATCCTTGGCATCAAACTTTGAGAATGCCAGTGTTGTTTCTGCTATATTTTAGCAAGTTAACGGCATCGAATTGGCCAAAACGAAGGATACCTCTTAACAGTGAGCTAACGGGTTCTTTGACCTCAGAATAGGACTTATGGACAATGTAGGCGTTTGTTTGATGTGAAATACCATAAAAATCTCAATTTGGCAATTAACGCTTTGTCTTGTCATGCAAAATTTCTTTGACTGTGTATATAACTAAAACTTCACCTATTCACACAATTACTTCGACAGTGAAATGCAAGAATGTCGAAAGTTACAAAGTTAAATAGATACAGTAAGATTCACTAACCAAGACAAAGATGATTGTATTTCTATGTTAAATACTCGATAAGAAAAAAAAGTTAAAATAAAAAAATTGATCTAGAAGTACAATTTTCAATATATATATATATATATATATATATATATATATATATATATAATGAATAATAAAAATAATAACAATAATAACGTTAATAATAATAATAATTACACACTATATTTGAGTTTTTTTTTCAGAACATACTATTCATTCGTGGGAAAAAGATTTTAAATTTTGAATATGTAAGCCGGAATGGTATTTTAAATTGATGGGGGTGTAGCAAGAAATACTTACGTGCACGAAGCAATGCCCTTCTTTTAATTGACTTGAAGCAATCTAAAGCCCAAGAATTCTGTGAATCGATTTGGCCCAATCTGAAGCCCTACCTTATAAGGGTTTTAGGGTTTTGCTTACGGCGGCAGAGAAAACCAGATCTAACCTTGAAGTAGCAGCAGGCGAAGAGCAGCAGAAGAAGAGCAGATATGGCGGTCGGAAAAAACAAGAGAATATCGAAGGGAAAGAAGGGTGGCAAGAAGAAGGCGTAAGTGCCATTTTCTTAAGTTTTCACTTTTACTATTTTGTTGACAATCTCTTTTTTCAACCTTGTTTTGTTTCTTCTTTCATCAATCGACAGCGCCGATCCCTTTTCCAAGAAGGATTGGTACGATATCAAGGCCCCTTCTGTGTTCCAGGTCAAGAATGTTGGCAAGACCCTCGTCACCCGTACCCAGGGCACCAAGGTTTTTTTCTCTCATTTCACAACCTCGTGTACATTTGTCTAGAATTTCATTTTTATGTATGCAATAAGGCACGTGGTGTGACTGTAGGGTTGGATCTGCATACATTCACACAAACAAAAATTTAGTAGAATTTTGTGTATGGATTTGCTTAAATAAAAGTTGGATTTTGTAGGTTAATGGTTGAACTGGCTTTGTTTATTGAGTGGAGTATAGTTTTGAGTGTATTCTTTTTAATTAAAATTTATTGGTGAGAGTTATTCGGTGTACTTGCACTTTTAATTGATGAACTTAGTAAGGGCTTATATATATGGTGACGGGATGGCTATGTTAAATAACAGATTGCTTATGTTAAATAACAGATTGCTTCTGAAGGACTGAAACATCGAGTGTTTGAGGTCTCATTGGCTGATCTTCAAGGAGATGAGGACCATGCCTTCAAGAAGATTCGTTTGAGAGCTGAGGATGTTCAAGGAAGGAATGTTCTGACAAACTTTTGGGTATGATGGTGGCTGACGAGCTTATTTTGTAGACCCTTATTGACATATATATGATTTCAATTTAATTCAGACTGCATCCTTTTAGGGAATGGATTTCACAACTGACAAGTTGAGGTCTTTAGTCCGAAAATGGCAAACTTTAATCGAAGCTCACGTGGATGTGAAGACCACTGATAATTACACTCTGAGGATGTTCTGCATTGGCTTTACTAAGAGGCGCAGTAACCAAGTGAAGAGGACCTGCTATGCACAATCGAGCCAAATTAGACAGGTACCAACTTCTTAGCGGTTTTTTGCAAAATTGTTTTTCTTTCAGTTTATTTTTAAATATACAGGCATATGTTCCAATATTGATTGTGTTAAATTGAACTTGTTTTAAATGCATTTCTCTTTATTGTTCCCAAGATAATAATAGAAATTTAAAGGATCTCAACTAATTATATCGTCATTTTCTTACTCTTAGTATTGTACTTCGGCACATGTTCTTTTATTCCACATTGCCTCCCAATTTTATGAATATGTTTTCTGAAAGTTTGGCCTCTTGGTTTCATGTGTTTCTTCTATTCTTTATGGGATGGATATGTTACATATCTAACAGTGTAAACACACCATCGTCCTTTCAGATCCGCAGGAAAATGAGAGAGATAATGGTTAACCAGGCAGCATCCTGTGATTTGAAAGAACTGGTCCGCAAGTTCATCCCTGAGATGATTGGTAAAGAGATTGAGAAAGCAACATCAAGCATCTACCCTCTACAAAATGTGTTCATTCGTAAAGTTAAGATCCTGAAAGCTCCGAAGTTTGATCTTGGCAAATTGATGGAGGTATGGTTCTTTTGTTTGAAATCTCAGTTACCATCTGGTTCTTTTTATCTAATTGAAGTATTTCATTGAGTTCATGATTCTTGTACCTCATTGATTTGTTGACCATTTTTAATATTGACGAGTACTATGGAATAAAAACAATTCTACTAGAAAATTCTTACTATTGTATTAAGGTGATTTATAAACTCTTTTCTATTTATCTTTGTAGGTTCACGGGGATTACTCGGAGGATGTCGGAACAAAGGTGGACAGACCCGCTGATGAAATAGTGGTGGAGGAAGCCACGGAAATAGTTGGAGCTTGAACTGGTTCAGAATGCATTTTTGTTTGTTTTAGAATTCCTGTTGCTTTTACTAATATTTATACTTTAATTTTGTTTTGACATTTGGAAGATCTATCGTTTGTCAATCTAAATCTGGATTTTTGGTTTAAGTTCTATTCGAGATGCTAAACGAATTTGGTGTGCATTTTCTCATCTCTGATAATTTGTGTGGTCTTTGCATGTTATATTTAGTATGGATAGGGGTCACTCTGAATTCAACATTTAACCATTAACTTATTTGCTGCAACCTTTAGCCAGTTTACAGCAAATTTTTACATGGTTTTTCATTTTGCATTAATTTGCGCTTTCACTGTTTAATAATCTGGTGATTTCCATACTTTGGACAACTGGTAAATCAGTTCTAGTTTAAGTTATAATTTAGTTCTTCAAAGAAATGTTAAATTTGATTAAGTTTCTTTCTGTGATAAATTAGATGAAGTTTTTTAATTTGTAAAAAACAACACAATTTTCTGTAAAATTAATCCTTAAGTTTATTTCTATCTTATTTATAATAGATTTATATTAATTATATTTTTATTTCATTAAAATACATCAATTTTCATTAATGTCTAATCTTTTGCGGGGCAAAATTAGTAATACGAATATCTTAGAATATTAACAAATTAGAAAAAATTTATGTAGTTACAATGTCTTGTTAATGATGTGTATGGATTTTTATTTTCCATGATTGACATGGGAAATCGTACATCTTAATTACTATGATATAGTTATTGTAATTTTTATTTATGTACGGATTAAATTGGTATTTTTTATCTTTCAAAATATAATTGAGATTGTTTTAGATTTTTAAACTGCTGTCACTTGTCACTATGTTTATAAACTGCTGTAAATTAGTTAACAAACTACTTTTACCCAGTTATTTATTTGATTTTGAATTTTTATATTTTTTATTTAAATTAAGAGTTTATAGTTTTTTTTTAGTTTTTAAAACAACTTTAAAAATTAATTTTGAAAATAAGTTAAAAAAAAATTGATTGATAATTGTATTTTAAAAACTTCCTTAGATGATAAAGGATGACAACAACTAATTGAAATTTAAGTTCTTATGAAATTAATCATGATGTTAATTATAATTAAATAACTTTTTATCTCAACTTTTTTTTAATTTGGTTTCATTATTATTTTCAATGTTAATTTGGTTTCTTCAAATTTTTTATGTCATTTAATAAAAAATATTAAGTGACGTTGAGGTGCCATTAATATGAAGAAAATCATGGAAAGTTTATATATAAGAAAAAGTCGTATTATTATATAAGTCAGTGTCATATTAACAACAGCACATGATATTTTCTGTTAAATAATTTATTAGAGTTAACGAAAAAATTAAGTTAATTTTATTTTTAAAAAAAGAAGCTAAATTAACACTAAAAATAATAATAAGATTATCTTAAATAAAGATAAAAAACATAACGAAATGAAAGAAACTATTTAACCTAATATTGTATATCTTTGTTACTCAAGACCTTGTATGGGCGTGGCATATTTTTAATATGTGTTTTTTTTTCATTTTCAATATAGCAAGTATAAACTAGTATTTATTAGGATTTTTTTTTCATATAATTAAAAAATTAGAAAAATAAATACTTTAAAACAAGTAGTAATATTATAATTGAAATTTCTTAGAATTTTTTTGAATATATAAAACATTAGATTATGGAAAAAAATATACTTGTTTGTAATTTGTAATTATTAATATTTTTGCAAAATATTGAAAAGGATTAAAATAGACAAGTGATTAAAAATGTTAAATGCACGGATTTCGGAAAAAGATAATTGTTAAGACTGTTGATTTTTTTTTTTAATTAGCTAAATTGAATTAAAATAAATTATTTAAAATAAAAAATTACATCAAATAGTTTTTTGTTTATAAAAAAATCACCGTCAAACGTAATTTTAGAAAGTGATCAAATTCAAATTTCAAATCCAGATTTAATACAAGAGTGAATATTTGATCATAAAATTAGGTGATATTTCATAGTTAACTTTTTTTTTTTTTTAATTATCGTCGTATATAGTTCTGAATAAATTAAAACTCGTAAAATTTGAGCTGCAAATTAATTCCGATTGAACGACACAGGAAATGACGTCTCTGGCTATGCGATCACAAGAGTCATGGAAATGATAAGGCTCTTAATTCAACGAATCATAAATTCTGGTCACCAAGCAAAAATCTCTTTATTGAAAGGCTTGCTTCTTAATTTTTGATACGTTGAATTTATTCCAAATGAAACATGATAAGATGATAATTGACATCTATGTTTGGGAAGTGTGAAACAAATCAAGGAAATGAAAGGTGAGGATCTGTGGAGAGAACACTGAACATGACCGTATCTCTGCTTTTTCCTTTGACGAACACAAACTTTCTGAGAATTCCCTCTCTTTGGAAACCAGCTTTTTCCAGCACTCTCTGAGACCCAACATTGAGCACATCAACAAGAGCTTCAACCCTCTCCAACTGTGGCAATGGCAACTCAGTGAACGCAGCCTTAACCACTTGTTTCACGACCACTGTCACAATCCCTTTGCCCCAGTGTTTGGAACCCAAGACATACCCAAGTTCCACGGATCTGCTCCTGCTTTTATCGTGCTCTGGATTTGAGGACAGAGAAACACACCCAATAGCACGATTGTTCAGGCATATTGCTCTGCACCACAGAAATTTGGTGGCTATGTTTTGGATGAAGTTGATCCCATCGTCTTTGCTCGTGTAAGTATCCCAAGTGCAAAAAGTGGCCACCTTTTCATCAGTGGTCCACACCATGAGATCATCCAGGTCAGAGAGCTCAAGGGGTCGAAGAGATATTTGGCTCAAATCGACACTTTCTTCTTTTCCTTCTGCTTTCTCCATTTGGTTGATGGGGTTGTGAGTTTTCGCGTATCTGTGGAAAAAATAAAAGGATTTTGAATGAAAGAAGAAGTAGAAGAAGAAGGGACTATATAGTTGGGAGAATTAGATGAGGAATGAAAAGAAGGGTGCAGTCAGCCATGGCTGACTTTTCCAGCCGCCCAGGCTGACTGGACCATGCTTTGTCCCGAATAAAAAAAATAATGCATCTTTTCTTCATTAAATTATTCCTTGACAACAAGTTTAATGATGTAGTAAAAATTGACAAATTTCATTCATTGGTAGATGTGAGATTATGTTATCTTTTAATGAAAAATGGTGAAAATTACTCAAATTGTTTTTCAACATTAAGCTGATTTCTTTAGTAACTATAAAGAGATTAATTCTGCAAAGGGAACTTAAATTTAATCATTAAATATTTAATAATTTGTAGTTTAAAACAATCACAATAACTTAGTTAATGGAAAATACTGGTGGGTGATTATTGTAAATAATTGCAGTTAACTTGAATAGAATTAGATGGAAATACTTATTTATTACCTCATGCAAGTCCATGAAAACTGATGTATTGATTGATACTTTTAATAACACACAGCACAAGTCAAACGAAACTCAAAGCATACACTGCAACCTATCTTTGCATGGAGAGTTTTATTGACTGTTACAATGCAATTCTTGATACAAGTCACCCAGTACAATTCTTCGGGGAAGCTAAACCATACATACAGAGATGTGCAATATGTTGCTACGATCAGATAACCCTAAATTGAATAGTCTCTTATTTCTGATCACAAACCTTCAATTTCACTAGCTAAGTTAAAGATTGATAAGCTAGTTATAGAAACATCCCAAACAAAGTACAAACAACATACTGTGTCTTTTTAGTCCTCATTAGTTGAAGGCTTTGAACATCCACATGCACAACCCTTACGACGCCTTTTGCTACTTTTCTTCCCAATGCGAATGAAGTCCTTCAGCAACACACCTGTTGTTGGTCTAGAGATTCTGTTTTTGCATTTGCTGTTCTTCATGTCAGCCAGTTTGAGCAGAATATATTGGATGTTCTGCACTTCAAACTGCAACCTTCCTATTTGCTCAGAACCTCTTCGAGCCAGTTCTGATAACTTTTTCCTATGCATGTGTACTCCTTGCTTTTCCAACTGCTTTGTATTTGTGTCTGAAGATGAGGATGTGCACTGTTCAAAGTCCTTTGCCAGTTGATCATGTATGCCAATTTGTTGCATGACGGCTTCCTCAACATCTTCTATGTGTCTTTTCACTGTTTCATATTCAATCTCATTTATCTTGTTGCTTTTCTTCTTTGTCTCCGGTTTCTTTTTCAAGTCTTGCAGAGTCATTTTGAGAATGGCCAGCTTCTGAGAATCGGAGGCAAGCTTCTCCAAGATCCTCCTCTTGCCATCTTCACTTGTCTCTTTTCTAGTCTTCCACAACTCTAGCTTGTCAACCCCTAATTCCTTCTCTCGCTCCAACTCTGAAGAGTAATTTTGACATTTTTCTGACTCATGCCATGTGATTACATCTTCTATTGAAGCAGGATCCAGTTTGTTTTCTTCAGTAACATCATGTTGATCAGTTTCACATAACTCGAGCATATGGTCATTACTCCTACCGAGCTCTCTCTTGCAGTACTTGTTGTAGTCAGGATCATCCTTGTAGTGATCCAGAGGAATGTCTATCATTATCAACCGTTTTTGAGATTTTGTTCTCCATGCATTATGGCCACGAGTGCTGTTGTCTTTCTTGATTTTCATCACCACTTTTCTGTTGTCAATTTCTGGATAAGTGGCTACATCCGAATTTGAGTGCTCTGTCATTTCTGATACAGCTTCTGCTTCGACATTTGCAGTCAGATTTTCCTGCTTCACACGTCTTTCAAGTTCTTCCATCATCAACTTATCAACTGCTCTAATCCTTGTTTGGATATTCAGCAAATCTTCAACCGCATCTGGCATTAAAATACTTTCATTTCCCCTTATACTTTGATAGCTATTTTCTTGGAGACAAGTCTCGGTCGCTACATCCTGCATAAACATTCATGATAGACGTGGATAAATAGAAAACATAAGTGAACTACATGAACTGTTTTGACAAGAGAAAAGGAGGAAAAACACATAATATCTAGTTGAAACAGGATGCTACCTTCTTCCCTCCGTTGCCAACGGCAAAGAAGGTTTTGGTCCAAAGAAAGTAGGTATGCTCTAGAGATGCAAAACCCTCTTTCAAAGAAGTAATCGTTGGAGTATATGAAGATAACTGCCCCTTCAGTCCTCTAATTTCCTTTTCCAGTAAACTGACTCTTTCTATCATCTGTTCAATCACCAAGCCTTTTCCAGCACTTTCATCATCAAGTCTCTTGCAAACTCCAGTAAGTTCATCGACCTTGCTTTTCAACAGTTCTTCACTAATTGATGAAATCTGAAGCTCCAAATAGAATGCAGCAGCCTCAGCCTCCCAAAGTTGGGATTCATTTGTTTTGTCCAGCAACTCTGAACTCAGTGCTTGCTCCCTGGCCTTGTGTTGTTCAACTTCTTGAAGTAACGATCTCATCACGGACTGCAAGCTTCTATTTTCTTTATGAAGGTGTTCGATTTCTTTTTTCTGATTCATGCAATTTTCTGATTGATCAAGAATCTTCCTGTCTAGGTTTACTCTGTTCAATCTTGATTCTTCTTGATCCATCTTCAGCTCCTCAATATATCTGCAAAATTCTTCATTCAATGTCTCTGAATCCTTCAGCCTTTTCACCATTTCTAGCAGCTCTTCATCTTTCTTCTTGAGAAGATTCTCCGAATCTTTTACTTGATGACTTAAACGGCAATTTGCTTTTTTTATTTCCTGCAGCTCTTTATCAATCTTCTCGGTAGACGCATTCAGATAAACATTCTCTGCTTCTTTCACCTCAAACTTTGTCCTTAACACAGCAAGTTCTTGATTAAGGTCACTGTTTAAACGGCTAAGATTGCTGCTGAGATGTTCAGAAAGTGCTTTTTGTTCGATGACTTTCTCCGTGACAAGGATTTCGTAAACCAAGTTGAGGTTGCTTAGGGCTAGTACCTCTTGGAGGATTATGCTATTTTCATCTTCAGCCACGGACTGTGCACCTTTGAGGTCCATAACACTCCTAAGCAGTAAATTTTTTTCCTCAAGCATCCTTCTATTTTCTTCCTGAAACACTTGATTTGTTCTCTGCAGATCCATCAACTCCGAATGTAGAGCCGCCAATTTGAACTTTGATGCATCAACTCTTTCTTCTCCATTGGCCACTTCAGTCCTCAACTGCCTGTTCTTTTCCAGAAGTTCAATCTTCTCTTTTTGCAATGTTGCATTATTCTCTCTCATGTTCTCAAACTCTTGCTCCATGATCTTTTTCTCTGACTCCATTCTTTCTCTCTCAGATCGATGTTGCCGAAGGAGCTGCTGCTTCTCCTCTTGGGTTTTGACACAAGAAATTTTCAAGCCCTCTATGTTGTCCAAAATATGTAATATTGGTATTTCCTCTTGCTTGGTTCCTTCGTCTTGCCCACTATATGGATCAATCTGAAGAGCCCCACACACTTGATGAATAGCCATTTTAAGCTTTCTAATTTCATGTAACAAAAACTCTTCTTCCATCAGTTGCACAAAGTTTTCAGTCTCCAACTCCGAGATAACTTTGTTAAAAAATTTTGATGCCTCAACATGCTTTTCACATTCAGATAACAAGGCCAAATTCTTCTCCTCCAGATCTTCTGTACAACTTTGCAAAATGAACATCTCGACCTGAGCATTTACAGCTTTATCAACTTCTTTTTCAAATTCTATCTTCCCCAGCCGCAGTTCTTCCTGTAGTGCATGAAAAATATTCTCCAAATTTGTCAGTCGGACTTCACTCAAGTGTTTATGATTGGCATGCTTTTCCTTTTGCACCAAAATTGAAGCACGTAGCTCTTGTACTTGATTGCATGTGCTTTCTTTGTCCTTCTCCGAGTCCGCATATTTTTCTTCTAATTTTGTGAACATCCTTTCCAGGTTACTTAGTTTAGCCTCAACGTTTTCCAACTGAGATACTAGGATGCTTCTTTCGTTTAGAAGATTGCACTTCTCATCATTTAGCAATTTGCAAAACTCTTCCAAGTCACTTGATTTCGTCTTCAAACCTTCCAGCTCGATCTTCGAATCGGAGAGGGACTTCTCTAGCGTTGCATTCTTCTCCAGCAGCTTCTGCATACTTTCGGTGACTATTTGTAACTGTGAAAGTAGAGCTGCTTTCTCATCAACAACAGTAGATTTTTCTTCCTGGAGAACATGACAAGACTCTTTAAAGTTCTTCACTGTTGCTTTTAATCCATCCAGTTCATCATTTAAACTTGAAAGGGAAAATTCCATAAAGGCATTTTCTATAAGAAGTTCATCCATATCCTTTGACTTTTCACGAAGAGCTTCTTTCTCGTTACGTTCTGCCTTGCAGACCTCCTTTAGATTTGAGTTCTCATTTTGTAAATGTTTCACACAGGCTGCAAAGCATTTAGGATCCAAACCTAAAGTCTGTAGTTGTTCCAGCATAGCGTGGTATCTGTTATTCAAGTGCTGGATATCATTCTTTATTTGATGAGCTTCCTGCTGGAGGGCGTTGTTTTCTTCAGCGTTTACAACGAATTCTCGTTCAAGCTTCTCTTTGATCTCTTTTAATTTAGAGATTTCCATTTGCTGTCTTCTAAATAATGACCTAGTGGAAGAGAATGTAAGTTCATTTAGGATCATATTTTCTTCCACACTCTCTTGCATTTCATCCTTAAAACCTGGCTTGGAAAGCTCCAAGTCCTTCAACAACTGAAGCCCACGTTTAAGCTCCATAACAAGAGTTCCTTGCTCCTGTTGTGACTTGGAGTGCACCTTCTGCAGAGTCTGTAGAGTGGATTCAATTTCAAGAAAGTGAGAATGCTCTTCTTTCATTAGAGTCTGCAGCCTCTCTATCTCACCATGCTTCTCTAGAAGTGCTTGAT